CGCACGACAGGTCCGTCTATCTTCTATACTTACTAGCTGTTGCGGTGCGGCTTCATCCTCGTAGAATTAAAATAAAAACAAAAGTGAGTACGCTGTGTTCTTCCAGACTATCCTCTATATCTATACCAGATTTTATCGAAATCCGTTTAGCCGTTTAGGTTACAAACTGTAACAAACATCTATCTAAACTTTCGCATTTATAATATTAGTATGATGTAAAAGTTTAGATAGATATATGGTAATTTTCTGGGGATATACTAAATAATTTAACCATCGATTACAGTTTTGCATTACACCATCCTATTGCATAACATCTTTTCTAACTTCAAGTTAGCCGGACATCAATCATTAAATTGTTATTTTATATGTAAATTATTATTTCGCGCTATCAAATGATTGTAAGGAAATAAAGAAATGTTTAATAGGTGAAATTAGTTTTGACGTTGATAGATAAGTAGTGCCCTCTAGCGGCCAAAGAAAAATATAGCTCCGAGATTTTATTACAAACACATCAACAAACTGTCTAAAGTTTTATGATTGATAAGTTTATAGTTTCCTTAAATGGCGTTAAAAAAACATATTTTCTAATGTAGAAAATATTGCAGATATTTACAAATTGTTTAACTTTGTATTTTGGTTTAGAACAGATTTAAGTATAGTTTTTTAAACGACTGAACGGATTTCGATTAAATTTGGTATAGATGTAGAGGATAGTCTAAAAGAACATAGGAACATAGGCACTTCTGTTGTTTTTTTAAGCCACGCGGACGGAGACGCGGGTGAAATAAAATACTTATGAGCTATTCTCGTGCAGTTTCATTCTTATGAAATTGTGAAAACTTTACCATATGGTTTACATTTTTGGAATTTTTAATTGCAAACGTCAATATTCAAATGCATAAATAACAACGAAGACCTTTGATTGGATAACAATTACCGTTTCCCTGGAAACCTTGTTTCGTTGATGTTGAGCTTGTGTTCTTTGGTCCCTTTCCCACATGACAACATTATCTAATCGAACAAGATGTTCGAAATCCGTGATTTACTTTTTTTTTTTAATTTTCAGACATAGAGCGTTAACTGTATCACTAGCAACGGCTGGTATGGAGCTTACTGATACATTGGAATTGCGAGCTAAGACTCCGCCGCGACCGCTGCAGCTGCCTGGACTACCTACTAAAGTGTTTGTTTATGCCACTGGCGCCGGCTGCGCTACTGTGCAAGTAAGTAAAAATCTAATCAAATACTTTGCTATTAATTATCATGAAAAAGCATAAACCTCTAAACATAAAGCAAAAGCTTAAAGACAATAATAGGGAGAAGAATCCATCTTACTTCAATAATCTTTGTCTGCTAGATTTAATTAGTTTGTTAAAAAATCTGTAGTTGTAAATGGTATACAGCTATTAATTTCTTTCAGGGCACCATATCGTACTCTACTTATACTCCTAAAGCTGAAAATGCTTTATTGAATATTCAAGCTGCTATCATCGAGGAAATTCATCCTGAGAGGAGTAGCTTAGAAGACCTGCAAGGAAACCTACCGACTTTAATTATCAAGACATGTTTCAAGTAAATACAATTGTTTAAAACACGTTCTATTGAACTTAGAGACTTAAACGTTAAATGCATGATATTTTCTTTTGAAATACAATACATTGAAACGGGTAGTAAATTGAAAATAGATTAAGGGAAAAATAAAGATATTATTATAGATAAGATAATAGTATATTGTGTAAGGAAGAAACGACTAATTAATAAATGCATCATCATGCATTTAGGGGAAATTAAAGTAGACGATCCACGTTTTGTGACTTTTTAATTGAATCCGTCATTATCTTTAATTTTCATTGAGTTCTATATTTTTAGATGGAAAGGCAAAGAGCGTTCCGGTATATTGCGTCTGGAGTCATCTCTCTTCTCAGGCTATGAGTTGCACTCCGTTAATCCTGTGGTACTGGATGGTGCGACATTTGCTGACCTGCATTATGGCTCTAGAGGGGAATCTGTTTGGTTTGTCTTCGCCAATGTAAGTATATTAAAAAATGTAAACTTGGACGAGCGAATCATAAAAACTTTTAGATATTTCATTACATTTTGTATGTTACAGATCAGTTCTACCTGCCCTGTTTGTGTTACTTACGAAGCTCGGTCGAACTTCATTATAACAAGCTTACGACCTGCATTTGCGAAAATTTATCCCTCAACACGTCCAGACTTGGCTGTCGAAACATTTTTCCACGCAAGACCTGGCAGCCCACTTCTTCGAGGTATCACTGATGACGATTTTATCACCTGGTTTGATAAAACTGAAATAGCAAGTCTGACGACTACAGCAAGTATTGATAACATTTGTGAATGCGGACGAATTTGTAGTAGAGATTATGAATTTAGGAAGCAAAATGAAACAGGTCATACTCTACTTAATTTCAAGACAAACGATAGTCATGCTGAAATAATTGAAATCGTTACAGTCTCTGAATTCAAGGATACCGAACAAACTTCCACACAAGCGCCAATAACAACAAATAAAAGCACCTTTGAAGTTACAGAATTGCCAATGACTACGATTAAACCGATTATTAATGATTCAAATATTTTAATGACAAATACAATAAATAATCACTTAAAACACAACAAAACCAGTGACTCTTCAAGAAAAAATGATTCAAGTAACACAAATAATCAAACTCTTGATAATCACTTGAAACCTGTGATAGTTGGTACAAACGAAGACGGGAATCCTAAAAAGCTGCCGAAATATTATCCCAAAAAAGAAGAAGCAAAGAAAAAAGTTTTAACGAGACGTAAAGGAACTCTCAAAGCAACCTATGGCGATAAACAAGAAAAATTCTTCATTAAGTCGAAAGATGAAATTACTAATCAAACGCATCACGTGGAGATTAAGATACTGAAAAAAAGTAATAATTCCTCTAAACTTTATATGAAAAATGAAATCAGCAATCAAAAAAATCTAACTGAAATTAAAGATGTCAACAATTCAACTTCCAAGGTGAATATTCTGACCATGGACAATCAGATCAAAAATGTAACTAACGAGTCAGTGTTTTCGCATAAAGAAACTACTCTCATCCCTCATACGATAGCTGCAATAACTAAAAGTAATATACAAACAATGCATTACAAAACTAAAAAGCCAAAACCCATAACACAAATTGTAAAACCACGAGTAAACATGAAAATGAACAACACAAGCGCTGACTTGGAGGAAAAAGATAAAAACGTTAATATCAAAAAAAAACCAAAACCAGCTACAGTTGAAAAATCTGTAACAAAATCATTGAAATCTATTAATAAAGAAATTCACAAAATACCTCCAACACCGATTTCTGAAACTTCTAAATCTCTAGCTGAGAATGTTAAACCTGACATAGCTCCAGAAAATAAACAAGGTTATGAAATTCTTGATAAAAACCGTCTTTGGGAACTACTTAAGGAAGGAAATGAAGCGGAAATGGCAAAAATCGATGACAAACTACAAATAAATAACAGAATAAACGTGTCAAATCTCACAAACAACAATCGTTCTTTATAAACATAACTGTTATATAATTCATAAGTTTAAAAGACTTCAGTGAATATTTTTGTAACATTCTCTAATTAATTTAACCATTAATTAATAATAGATAAGAATCTAAGACGTAAATTTCCTAATAATGTAATAATTCCGTGTTTTTTAGAATAAAGCACTCAATAATGAATTGTAAACGAAGAATGCGATGTAAATAATTTGGAAGTTATCTCAATAGCAAAGCTGGTGAAGTGTGTTGTGACGATTTGTATGAATGTAACATTGCTCAAAGCCTCTAGATAATTTAGATTACAACATGTAATATTAAATTTAGATTATTATAGTAGTTCAGATTGCCAAATTTAATATTAAGGGCTTTGTAGTAACATCTATGGTAAATAATTTAGAATGAAAAATCTGAAAATTAAAAAGAACACTAAAACATAAATGTTTGAATGGGAATTAAGAAAGTCTGTTGTGAAATGGTTGTATATTCCATATTTTAATCAAAATTCCCTTGAAATTACAATAATTTCTACGGTGTGATTTTGTACATACATTTCTTAAAGTTGCCAAAATTATATTAGATGCTCTTTTAATCCTATCCTATTCTATCCTTCTTAGTAATAATCTTTTAGCGTATGAATTAGAACTTTTAGATTAACCTTATGCTAATTGCCCCCAGAATTTCCATCCGTCTATCGTCTTATGTATTGTACGTAAATGGTAGTCTTACTATAGCTGTCTAATCTTATATCTTTTCCTGAAATTGTAAATCATTCAGCCATTATCAGAAAATTATGTTTCGTGGAATTTTCATTTAAGAATTCTCGGAACCACTTTTTTCATTAACAAGTCATCTCTACTCCATCTCATGACCTCTGATTTACAATTTCACTCCTTTCCTGTAGAAGTAGAATTTATAATTTTTAAGTACTTTAATTACTAACTAAATGTTGAATAATTTAACGAATTTCTTCTTTCCTACTCTTACTGTATTTCGTCACTTCTTTTGGCAACTTTTTCAATTAGAATAACTTAATGTCATTAATTAACTTAGATTTTTTTATTAACGTATGTAATCACAAGTTTTACGATTAGTTGCTTTTTCATCAAAGTTATTTTATTACATTTAATATAGAACTTAAGTCTTATTTAAGTAACTGATAAGTGTGGTTGTATAAACTAGGTGCTTATGCAGATTCTTGTCAATTTGAAATGTTAAAATCACGATTTCCAATCAGGTTAAAAACAACCTGTTTTTAGTAATTTAAAAACCTTTGAAATATCTGCGCTTACAGTTAAAGCTAGTCGTTCATTTACATCGATGTACTGACAGAATAATTATTAGTATGAATAAATAGTACTAAGTGAAATCTGTGATTTTATTATCCCCTTAAAAAACACATAAAACATAATAGTAAGAGGTCGCACACCTGCGACTAAACCATCACCTAGCTGTACAGTCTCAAATCGATTCCCATGACCTTAAAATGAGGTGCGCAAACTATTCGACCATAGTTGTGCAACTAAACAGTTAAATTGGCTGCGAAACAATCGACAATCGCAGAATATTTGTGCGATAGTTTAGTCAAATTTGTGCGCCCGCTATAAAGAAATGTAGTGTGTGTGAGATATGAAAGCTAACGTACAAGAAATTGACAAAGGCTCAGAGATCTATAAGATGGACCGATGTGTATATGTAAAAATTACGATTCGAAAATACAAGATAAGTACGAGCATAAAGCATCAAGCTAGGCTCTGTAAAGGTTTAGATTAGGTGTTTCAAATAAAACAACAAAAACAATTTTATCATTACTTTTTCTCAATTGCTTTTATTATCGATAACATTACAATGACATTTGATCCATAGATTAATTAGACTTTAATAATACATATAACCAATATGATAAAGTACATCAAATTACCTCTACAAGTCAAACATATCCATAGCTAAATAATGTCCAAAACTATAAACAAAGTCCGACTTACTAACATAGACAAAAAAACAACGATTAGACTACGAATAATCTACGAATTAGAAAAATCTAAAGATAAAACAAGTCCCTTAGATGTAATAGCGTTTGAGTCCGGTACATAGACGTAATAGAATAGTAATAGTATATTAGTTGTGACGCCGGTTAATTCGCTCGACTCATCTCCTCCGGGCGAAAGTCAACCACGCCGGTAGGTCCGGCTTCTGGAATGGGAAAACGCAAGATTTAAAAAGTAAACTTCATAACAAAACTATTGAAACAAAGGTCTTAAAGACAGTTTTAGCTACGAGTCTACCAAAAAACATAAAAGTCAAGGTAGTTTTATCAATAAATAGCTGTTGCTCGCGACTTCGTCCACTTTAAATTTTTAAATATAGTCTATGTTACTCAGCGATAACGCGGCTTTCTAATAATAAAATAAAATTTGAAATCTGCCCAGTAGTTTTTGAGTTATTTCGATGCATACAAAAATAAAAATCCTTCTTTATAATATTACGAGTAGTATAGATTACTTTTAACGAACTACTAAACTGACCAGTACAGACATTCTATCGTATCATTATTTAGCATCAATTGGAATAAAACTGTGTAAACTTTCATGAGACATTATCTTATAGTAATTAAAAATGTAGTAAAGTATGATCTTCTAGAACCGTCGCCGAAACACATGAGTTTGAGCTCTTTTATATCAAATGGAATCGTCGTGTAATTGGAATGAAGGATACATATTAGGTACGAGATGACCACGTACCAGTTTATTACTTTTAATTCAAACACATTTACACAATAGAACTTTGTATTAATAATATACATTATTGTTACCATTTCAAATACTAGTATTTAATAGTCAATATGAAGTCATAAAAGGACGCACGTAAATCCAAGCTACGCTATACGAGAATATTACCGCAATATTCAAAGCGGCTTCATATTAGACGATTTTACAGTCTTAAGAGCTCTAGGATATGGATTCGATATTGTGAAATTGAATACAATATTAGTCAAATATGCGATACTGATATTGAAATATCAGTTACGACGATTTTCAACTACGACATTAAATTTAATAAAATTACAAAACGAATGAAAACGGTATCGTTGATTCGTTTTTCACATTTTATGAACTGATCTACATTTCATAAAAATATATAAATTGTCTAATTGAATATTAATATTAGAGATTCAATGAAAGCTTTTAAATATGCTAATGTGTAATTTTAAATTAAAAATGGCGGTAGCTTCATAATTAAAGAATAAGAAAATTTTAAGGCGTAGACACTTAAAAGAAGTCGCGTCGCATAATATATTTTTCTGTCATTATTTCATGATTTATGAATCAACATAATCAGGAGGGTCGGCACAGAATGTGCTACTCTTCCATACATCCCTATCAGCCGTCATATCTGAATCCACTCCTTTCTTAAGCATATCCTCTTTCACACAATCCATACTTTCTTCGGTCTTCCTCTTCCTTTGTAGCCATCCACATTCATTCTTAACACTTTCTGGTTTATGTACCCATCATCTCGTCGCATGTATATTATAAAATATTGGAATATTGTTTGAAAAAAGATTCCTTACGTGCCTATTTATAAATTTGAATTGAAAATATTACTTCATAAACTAATATTAAAGTCGAAACTAGTGTATCAAAACCTACAATTTTATTATATCGATCATAGCATTATTAGTGGATATTATTGTTACTAAAACTACTGTTGGTAGTCATAAAACAACAATAAACTTGTATTTTACGAGGCCATTTAATCAACGCAACAAAAGACTAACGCTTTGTTAGAACATGATAAGGTACAAATAAAATTAATCGACAAACTAAGGATTGTATCGTCTGTGATAACCCACGTAGAGTAAAAGAAGCTTCCAGATGCTGGCTATCTTGTGCAATACCTTGACTTCTAAACAAGACTTGTCTACAATTCTACATGTCTTGTGCCATCTTTTCCAATCCGGGGTGCCTTTTACCTGAGCCTTTATTTTATTTTTACTCTTTATAAACTCTAACAAATGTTTGATTAGTGTTAGTTACGTAACAATAAATAGACTTACTTTGATATCTTATAATAAAAAGAACTTACCTCCTGATCCTTAGCCCAGTTTGTGAAAGCATCGGAACGTTTGCCGAACCTGTGAACAAAAATATAACAGTATTATATAAAATAGTTCAATAACGTGTAATATAAATGTTGGAAACAGAAATTTGTTAAGAAAATTTTAATGTCACACAAAATGTTCCTAGATACAACTCACTCCTGTAATATAGTTGGTACAAAAGTTGCATCAACGTAGATAGTAAAGAAATTACGAAAAATAACTCATAGTTACTGATTATTTACCATACTTTTATATACCAAAACATATTACTGTGACTAATAATTGTCGTAGAACAATAAAGTCGTATTTCATTTAATATCCTAGGCCAATACTTGTAACATAAAATCAAGAATTTTGACGACTACATTGAACAGCGACAGACAAAATACTAAAATGTCAATAAATTTCTATGATAGTAGTAAAAACCACCTTTATTCTTTTGTGTAACGATTCGATCTTTCGTAATTAAATAATGTAATAAAAATGTTCTAGTTTAATTAAAAACCACTGAATTATAAAAATTATTTCACCAATATTATTAAATTCGATGTTTCTAGAAAAAAAGTCTTTGTAACCATGAACGTTTTCGTAATTATTATATAAAATGATAAGTTACACTTGAGCGTCAGTGGCTCAGTGGTTTAAACACTTGACTTGTAATCTACAGATCTTAGGTTCGAATCCCGCCATGTACCAATATGATTTTCGATTTTTCGAATTTTCATATGTACATAATTTACCCGACGTTCTTACGGTGAAGGAAAACATCGTGGTGCAACCTGCATATCATCGAAGAAATTCAAAGATATGTGTGAAGTCAACCAACCCGCACTGGGCCAGCGTGGTTGACTATGGCCTTGTCACCCTAACTTAGGGTAAGCTTCGAGCCCCTCGGTGGGGACGTATAGTGAGCTGGTGATGATGATGAAGTAACACTTAACAATTCCATTTAAATCTTAATGCCAGGAATTTTTACTTAACATCTCATTTAAAACGACTACTACATTAATAAGATTTTCTATTGAACTCATCGACAAACATGCACTCAAATATCACCTTGAAAGTCCTTGGTTTGCAACGTTAAATGTATAATTATAATTGAATTAATTTTTGATTGATTTAATATTAACGTGTTCAGAATTTAACCATAACATTGTATAAGAAGAGCTATCAATCTAACATCGAGAAAAGGGGTAGATAGAACGTCATGCGGGAGTAAAACTTGCGTCGCGTTATCGATAGGGTAATAGGGATGGGCATACATCGATCGTACCTTGGTCGGGTGTGGTAGGAGTAAATGCGGTCTAGATTCTGCAGCTGCAGTAGCCGCACCGCGCGATCTAACAAGTCTGGGTCGACGCGGTCCCCGTCCGCGACGTCGCGGCGGTCAATCCTGCCAATATCGATAACGGTATAATCACAACACTACGATCCGATATATCGAAGTTCGACACGACCAAGATACGTTGTAGCAACGCAAATATATTTCGTACGATTTGAATAACAAATTATATAAGAGATCCTTAAAAATTGAGTTTTATTGTAGACTAGCTTCCGCTCGCGAATCCGTGCGCGTGGAATTAAAAAAAACAAAAGTGAGTAGCCTATGTGTTCTTCCAGACTATCCTCTACATATATGCTAAATTTCATCGAGATCCGCTCAGCCGCTTAAGCTACAAACTCTAACAAACATCCATCCATCCATTTAAACTTTCGCATTTACAATATTAGTAAGATCTAAGAAGGTTGTCAATTGTTTCACGAAATACATATATGTTTAATAGGTTTCACATGCGACTCCGTCCGAGTGGAAATAAAAACAAAAGTATGTGTTCTTCTGATGAAATTTATATTAACAAAAATACATTCAGCTTATTATTGTTTGATTTTTACATTCCAACATCAAGGAATATTTGAATAATAGAATGTGCATTACCTAAATCTATGTTATCGATCTACGAACTCAACGTATACTACAAAATTCATCGCATCTAAATTATTCACGATTTGGTGTCACATACTGACAGTGTGGGCTCTACCAGTCCGCTCGTCATTTTAATCCATCAATGTACCAGACTGACATATTGACACGAATCAAATCACCGATGTATTCCCACTTCATAATATAAATTACTACATCTATAATATATTATGGTTAACAATAAAATGAACCCCGAATCTAAAAATCGTCACCAAAACTTTGAACATACACAAAAAGTTTCTTATCTATGTTTATACCAATATTATAAAGAAGAAATATTTGTATATTGGGATTTATGTATATATTGAAATAAGTCAAAAACTACTGGATCGATTTTAAAAATTCTTGCACCATTAAGAAGCTATGTCATCACCGATTACAAAGCCTGTTTTTATATCACACGGGGGAAGTCGCGGGCTATAGCTATTTTATAATATTATACATAATTAATATTCTTAATAAATGTGTACGAAAAGGTATGATAAGAGGAACATTTGCGTTAAAAATTCGTTAAATTATCTAGTCGAAAAAGGACTTGCTACACAAAAATATTTGTACAAAAAATTAAATTTTATATTAAAGGGATCAGAGAGTGTTGCTACTAATTAAATCTGATGTCACCTTTTAAATTAGCTTATCAGATATTGACGTATATACCTTGTTAGTCGTTTATTAAGTGTAATTAGTTTAACAGCGTTCGTTTTACAATAATCTAATCTAAACGGTCTTTGAGGGCGTATAAACCTTGATAACATTATCTACTAGTTTAGAGGGAAATATAACAACGATCAAACGTTTTGTTACTAAAGCAAACGACAAACATTCAGAGGAACATTCCACTAAATAAATAGGGATGTGTACAATTGAAATTTGAACAACCATATTTTTAGAATCGTTATTTCATTTACATATCTTGATTAAATTTCAGAGAGAAATGTGCACAAATACAACCGCAAAAAAGATTATTACAAATGGATACGTCGAAAATAATCCACACCTACGTCATAACTCGATACTCGTTAACGATCCGCAAATAGCATTAACGCATCGTTAATAGGGAATAATTAGGACATGAGTACGGCAACTCATTAGCGGATGCAAGCGGGCGTAATGGCACTGGAGTGGTTTGAAACAAGCACCTCTTCACATGTCACAATATATCCAGTGTCCGTTACATTTGGAATGTAAATAAAATTACGCTCTACACTTCAAACTATAATAATGCGATATTGTTATTTAATTCAACGGAGTTTTTTCTAGCAAAAAATATATGTCACCAACAGATTAAAATCTCACGTATTTTTCTCTGAACTAGTTCAGTGTTTTTTTTTAAAAAAGTTGTCCGTCACACTGGACACTAACGAATTAAAGGTTAATCTATACATAAAATAAAATTGGAGTGTCTGTTTCTGTGTCTGTCTGAAAATTTCCAGATTTCGGGAAGATGTATTTGCGTTGCTGATAATAAAAATAGCATTATAAAAATTATCAGTAAAAATATGTTTCGGTTTACTTAACATATTAACAACACCTCCTACACACTATCTGTTTTCATTTATTTGCATATCTATTCGCTGACTAGCCTAAACAATAAGGTATTGGGTACACACAGTGCGCTGCGCTAGCGGTTTATGACCGTACCCTAATTAATATCGATTGCCTGAAACAATTCCGAAAGCGAAATAGTTACAAAGAGAGTAAATCGCTTATCTGTACAAACTAGTTAAAGCAAGAAGGTAGATTATTTATTTTTGTATGTATTCGATTCACGTAAAAACCATCGATTCCAAGTCGATTTTAAAAATTCTTTCACCATTAGAAAGGTAATTTATCTGTGAGTAACATAGGCTACATTTTTTATTACACGCGGACAGCGTTTTGAGAAACAGTTCGTTTAAAAAAAGACCAATCGAAGTTATGAAAACACTATTTTCCTTCTCGTTTTAAAAGAAATAAATAGCGTGTTTCCTATAAAATAGAATCATATTGCACATTTTGTCACAAACACCAGTTATTTGTTACCTTATAAAAAGTCTCCGATGCGGCGTATACAATCATATAAGTATATAAGTCACATAAAATTAGGAAAGACAAATCTCAAAGGAATTCTTCTGACTGACATCGTTGAGTCGTTTAATCTTTCTTTATCACACTAAAGTAGACGTTACTTCTGTAATTGAAACTTATCCTTTGTAAAAGAAAAGAACTGTAGAAAGCAAACACATTATATACACTGTTTAGTCGAACTGGTATTTTAACTCTGACGATTATAGACGTCAATATGGTATGTATGTTTCTCCAGGAATATGAATAACCATACTAGCTTTCGACCGAGACTCCGTCCGCACGGAACTAATAAAAACAAAAGCAAGTAGCTTATGTGCCCTTCCAGACTGTACTCTACATCGGTGGCAAATTTCATTCAGATTCGTTCCGCCATTTAGACTACAAACTCTAACAAACATTCATCCGTCTAAACTATCGCTTTTATAATATTAGTAAGAAGTACGATTGTTCTCGGTATAAGTGCTTTATTATTTTTTTGATCCAAATCGTATATAGCAAGCCTACGCATAATAATGTTACAATAGTGTCTGTCTAAAATACGCGCCGGTTGTTAGCCACGATATAAGTGTTGACGTACAAACCATAGTAAAGCTACATAAAATTAAAACGTATCTGAAACAATGTCTACGTGTTTTATGGTATGTCCCAGACTGTTGTAATAACTGTGATTTTTGAATTTAATTTGATCAAATAATAAAAAAATGTCACGTAGTAACGTGTACTCAAGTATGAGTTATTAAATTAGATCCAAAAAAATCTTATATCATTTCTACAAATTATTCTGTCATCATTTATGAAAATAACAAATAAAAACATGTTCTCATTAACTATTGTTACAAAAGAAATAGATTCGGAATTATTTCCACGCAGCCTCGATTTATTTATTTATATTGTCTTGTATAAATTTTTATTTTTACACTCGATTAAGTTTTAACAAACAAGAGTAAATTGCGTATTTTAGTTGAAAATATATTGTTATATTTTTTCTATCTTGTTACATAGAATGTTTATTATGGACTAGTTGTCGCGACTCTGTCCGAATGGAATAAAAAAAAACAGTAAGTATTATTCCAGACTTTCTCTACATCTTACGAATGCTACTAATATTATAAATACGAAAGTTTAGATGGATGGATGTTTGTTAGAGTTTGTAGCTTAAACGGCAGAACGGATCTTTATGAAACTTCGCATTTATGTAGTATAGTCTGGTAGAAGACATAGGCTATTCACTTTAGTTTTTTTTAATTCCACGCGGACGGAGTCGCGGGCGAAAGTTAGTCTATGATAAATTCCTTCGAGATCCGTTCAGCTATTTAGGCACCAAGCTTCAACAAGCATCCAAACTTTCACATTTATATTATTAGTAAGAAGCAAGATTCGTAAGATAAATCTAGAGGATGGAAAATCTGCTTTTATTAATCTGGAATAGAAACACGAAATTAAAAAAAGAATCATAAAATCCGTAAAGGAATAAATTAATTAAAAGACATTAACAATTCTTCATTAATTTCACCGGATGCGGTTTGTCTCAAAAGAAACGCTTCCCTTAAGATGAAATTTAATCTTCACTTCTATAATTTTTACAAAGCCAGTTAAAAATGCTTAAAGTTGACAAAGTGTTTGCTTAAGTTCGTTCGGTCTTTCATTATACAAGCGGCCGGCGGCGGATTTCATTTCGTTAATGTGTAATCTTCTTACAATAACGAAATACTTTATTATACTCAAATTACGAGATTTTTCTAGAACATTCTAGAATCCAATACCTTTAGCATTAAGGAATTGATGATTTTTTTTTTATATAACATAAGATGGCAAACGAGCACGCGGCCACCTGAATCCACCAAAATGGTGAAGCGACCGCTGCCCATAGACATCTGCAATCGCAGATGCGTCGCCTACCCTTATCCAACGGAGATGGAGACGCACATAAAGAGGATATCTCCTCTTCCTATGCATCTCCTTCATCGTCAAATCCACTGCCCCCTTCCCATCCTCTCATAAGAAAAGGGTGGTAAAGAGAAAGGGACTTAAATTAGGCCTCCGGCACCACACTCATCAGACGAAACACGGCATTGGTTCCATTTCACGCCTGTCTTCTGTGTGGTCGTGGTATTACTGGGGGCGTGCCGGCCCATTCGTGCTAAGATGTTAAAGCGGGCACTACCACTGTAAAACTGTTGTAGAATAAACAATTAAAAAAATTGGTCGATTATTATCAATTTGTCGCTAAGTCTACATTATTATTTATAACCGATTAAACCTATAAGTGTATTTTCAAATTTATAACGATAAGAATTTACGAATAAGATCGGCAATATTAAATCTTTAACTTGACTTGCATAAATCAATTTCTTCAATCTTATCACGTACAAATCTTTAAAAAGTTAGCACTTTGTAGCATTACCGAACAATGCTTTTAAAATGCAAAAATGCAACGTGACATTTTTCATTTCTGAGAACGGTTCATTTAATATACTAAATTTTAAAAACATTAGGCCACAATAACAGTAACCAATCTTTTATACATGTAATGAAATTGTAGTGTTTATCAAAAGAAAAATTCCAGATTTCAGGAACATGATGTAATTTGCGTTGCGGATAACGGTTATCGCATTTAACTTTTGTCTGTCTGTCCGCAAGCCACGTTTGTTCCGGGTAAGCTCCGAAATGGCTAGGCCGATTTCGACCAGACATTCACTGAAGGGTAGCTGTCATACACGGGCATATTATAGACTACTTTTTATCTTAACATTACGTAGAAGTCGCGGGCAACAGTTAATATTACTATATTATTCTCAGGCTTTGAATTTGCTTTGATTGAATGGAAATTAAAAAAAAAGTAGATTAATATACGATAATTAAACGTAATAATGTTACAAATCGAACGTTTAGGATCATCGTGCCTCTATTTCGCTTGTTCCGCGCTCTCTCGCACGCACGGCTCATGCGAAACGTGACAATGAGTCTTCTATTTTGTACAAGCAGCCTGCTTTCTACGATTTTTAATTCGTTATCAAAACGTTGAAAAAATCAGCTCTGTTCTTAGTCATAAAATCCTTTTATTCATAAAAGATTTTATAAATCCGTTCTTCGTATTTAGAACAAACCAATCCGGGGCCAATGATTGACTAAACCTTATGAAGTAGACAAGCAAATAAATGCTCGTTATAGTTTTAAACTAACAAAAGAAACATGTCAAGACAACTAACGAGTTGCAAAGTTGGCTTGTGTTCGCCGACATAACTGTCTTCCCTTTGAACATTGCATTAGCGTTAAACAGTTTAACATAGCAAACTTTTATTACATTGCCTCCGTAAGCTTCTTGTTTGATACAAACGAAATCGAATCATGTTTGTAAAAGAGTTTTCACAAACTATGTTTACAGTGTGATTGTGAGTAGTTCATACAGAAAAGAGACTAACATATTTGCACTCAGTTTATTCTTCTTATAGTTATTTCTGGAATATCTCAATCTTATGCTTAATTCCCGTTAGAATTTGAAAAAACACCACTATTTTCTCCAGCAATTGATTACACAAATTCTACCATTTATTCATGCGAGACATGAAGATCGTGTTCAGAAGCAAAGCAAAATAAGTCGACCTGAAGATGGACTCCCACAGGTCTGAATCTAGTCGTTACTGAACGATCATACGTGAATTAAGTCGTTCTTAATTATTTTTTATTGGCATTAATTCTATAAAAGAACCAATACAAAATTTATAATTATGATAAAATTATCATCTGCAATCGCGATGTTTATGGGCAGCGGTCGCTTTCCATTTCGTTGGATTCAGGTGGCCGCTTGCTCGTTTGCCACCTTATACTATAAAAAAAAAATCATCATAGAATACCTAAGCAGTAAGCATTAAATTGCAATTAGCTAACATGTTGTAATACGTTACGTATTTTCACAACTGCAAGTCATACGTTGGGACGATATTTACGATTCCACGCTAGAAATGTAATCTTGCTCGTGACATCGGGTCTTATCTTGTCTGCAGACCTGTCGGCTTTAGAAAGCGTAGCAACGGCTACGTGGCAATTAGGAAACATCTGTTCACGATATCTTCTACTGAATGCACAATCACATTGCTGTAGATATAAAAATTTTTCTCTACCACTATTTTACAGTGGTAGTGCCCGCTTTAACATCTTAGCACGAATGGGCCGGCACGCCCGGTGTAATACCACGACCACACAGAAGACAGCCGTGAAATGGAAACAATTCCGTGTTTCGTCTGATGAGTGTGGTGCCGGAGGCCTAATTTAAGTCCCTTTCTCTTTACCACCATTTTCTTGTAAAGAGAGGTTGGGAAGAGGAAGTGGATTTGACAGTGGAGGAGATGCATAGGAAGGGGAAATACCCTCTTTATGTGCGTCTCCTCTTCCGTCGGATAAGGGTAGGCAACGCATCCGCAATTGCGGATGTCTATGGGCAGCGGTCCCTTCGCCACTTTGGCGATTTCAGGTGGCCGCTTGCTCGTTTGCCACCTTATTTTATAAAAAAAAATATATGTTTGAACAATACTGGATTGACTTTATCAACACGTAAACTACGGGATCGAGATATTTTAAAACTTCAAGACAAAGCTTCCATTGTTAATGGACTGTGAAACTCAAAGCGGAGATAAGTTTAACTATATACTTGTATGAAATTTTAAACCTGAATTGATCTCTTCTACACTTATTTATGCCGTTAATAGTAACCATTAATTTTAAAATAGGTCAAAATGTTTTAGTAAAAGTAATTACAAAACATATTACTAAGTTGAAACTTTTAAAGCAATTGATGTTAAATTAAGTACTCTAATATATGTGATTTACAAATAATTAAAATTTTAAAACATTGCTTTAAATTATTATACTACGATAAACTTTGTATGCTAAAATACTTATATTCAATAAGCTTGGGTGTAAAATTTGTATCGCATTATACTTGAACATTGGCCATCATCCAAACCCCATTATCATCGATAGCAATCTGCTCTTGAAGCTTTAACGCCTTCGCCGCCTTAACTTCTTTCTAATATCGCATAGAAAATATTCAAAATATTAAAGAACATTTATAACCTGTAGTCGCATTTTTCGTTATATGTTTTTTATTGAAAATATTACTTAAAAAATATATTAAAAATAAGCACAAATATGGCTCCGCAAAAACCATACAATTGGTTTGTCCGCGGGTGCGGTGGTTACAATATAACATATGTAGAGTGTCGTAGTGGAGTGTAGCATAGTTGTATGACATTTTTTTGTGTGAAATTATATAAAATACATACATACATAATATACTGTATACTGTATGTATATGTTATCGGATTTTGACAAAAGAAAACTGGTTTAAAAGAAACTGTAGCTTGTAAAATAAAAAGAAAACTTAGTTGCCTATATCATACTCGTATAATAAAATTTTGTAATCTCAGAATTGATGTATTGTTCGCTAACAGTCTCTCGTTTATGTTTAGAGTAACTCTGCGTTAAAATACGATTTATTCGAACATAAAATTAACCATTTAAATTCACCTATAAAAAAGCTTTTTTTCACTTATCGTAACTTTTATATTGACTATATATTTGAACGGCTTCGCCAAATCATATTATTATTAAAAAATTATTACAAAAAGTCAAATAGCCTTCTTAAAAAAAATACATAAATGACAATACACAAAAGACCAAAAACAATGGGACACATCTCTCGAGAATAATTTATCAACGAGACAACAGTAATTTGCAAATGGTAAAATATGAAGGTGTAATATTGCTATACGAAATATCTTTTAAATTGAACATACCTGGCGAACACTAAGACAATATATCTTCACACATTGCTGTTTACGTAAGCCCTAAATGTTCACAGCTTTGCGAAGCATCGGCAATATTAAACTATTTTTATCTACAGTGTTATTTAGTATTTCATTTTGGTTACAATAAGAAGTGCATAAGTGTAGAGAAACTCCAATAAATTTCAATCTGTTAGTTTAAAAGTTTTTTAGTTGTTTAATTAAAACGTAAAATGAATTCTTTGTTTACTGACTTTTTCTTCTCAGCAAGTGATTGCCAGACAAGGTTACTCAATTAAAAGTATTTGAACTAAATCTTTTTACATAGTCTAGTCTAAAAACAAACCTTTACCTCTTCGTCTTGCACGATGATAGACTAAACAATTACCTACAAACGAATATTTTACTCGGACAATAATTTTGCAATTAAGTGTACATACCTTGGTCTAGCAGCCTGCGTGTAGTAGCGGTCCAGTTCCTGCAGCATGCGAAGAGCGTCGGCCATATCGTGAGGACCCTCCTCCCGCGCCTCCACGAAGCAGAACAGAGCCAGCACCACGGCAACAGCAATAATAATCTTCTTGCTCAACATGATTCTATTGAACAAAATTTTTAGTCACTAAAGGAAAAGTTTAAATGATCATTAAAGGAGATTATCTATACTATTATAATAAAGCGTAAACACACACTTCCTTGTTGCCTAAGATGTCAGCAATTTTTGAATAATACTTTTTTTTTAATTAAAAGCCCTACACTTATGTCACGCTTCAGGCTATATATTTTCACGTCATTAAAATTAGGTGGTAAATATTAATAAATAAGTTGCTGCCAACATCAAGGAAGCAAGATTGCCAAGTTTAGTCATGTCATTTAGACATTTGCAATTGACAATTTTGATACAAGTAAACAATAAAATAATTTTATGCTGATGAAATAGCACGGGAACACAGTTTATGATAAATTTACTAAATTATGCATCGTCAATATTAAACCCTCTGGTAGAACTAAATGGCAACTCCTTTATTTTTAATTGATCAATCAATCCGAGGCTGTATAATAAAAGTTTAGAGCGTGCACCTTTGACTAAACTATCGCACAACTGTTCAGTCTCGCTTTGATTCCTATGAGCTTATATGGAGGTACACTACTCGATTTTTAGTTGTGCAACTAAACAGTTGAATTGGCTGCGAAACAACCGACAATCGCCCACTCTTATTCTTAAATCAAGATCACACACAGACACAAGTCACACCTAAATTGGGAATTCCCAGAACAAAGTATTTCTGTTTCACGTGGGTTTTATAAACTCAACAAATTTAGATACAAAATTCAACAATGTTAATTAAAAATTGAAGTTTCTAAATAAACAAGATAATCAACATTTCCGAATAGCAAAACATTTTTTATTTAAAATTCCATTCACTTTCCTTATCCGGGAAAGTATTTTCACTTTCGATACTAATTAAATTGGAAAAAGTTTGTTTTCTTTATTTCTTTTCTTTCGTTGTTTGTAAGAAATGGAAATAGTATTTTATCAACACAGAACCGATGTTATTTCAACGTGATTTTAATACTGATTATTTTACAAAAATATGTGACAACATACCTTTTAACTATAAATTATAAATGTTTAATAAATAAAGCATTATAACCGTAACTAACAATCTTTTCCGATTTTATTTAAAGGGTGTCTTAATATTTTATTTCCAAATCAATGTTTATCAAAAACAAAATGTTTATAAAATGACGTATGACAGATAGATGTCACCGACCTCTATTTAATAGACAAGCTATGAAACGTACGTAGTTTGTGCCTATTTTATTTTTTCCATGTTACCGCTTACAATATCGGCATCGGCTTGTAAGCGTGGTAAGTTTTCTAACTAATACTAAAGATAGAATTAATAGTCAATAACGTTCAATTGCGTTGAAGTCGTTATAAAACAAAAACTATCAAAACCAATCGATGACCTATCCATTTATAGAGATCAGTTATTTTCACATATAAATAATGAATAAAAATGGCCTATGTTTATACAACCTTTTTACTAATATAACTAAAAATGACATAATTTTAAGATTAAGAATAACGCCATCTTTTACCAGATTTAGAAACAAACTTTAATTAGATCGTGTTTTCAATTTTTATTTCTGTAACAGCTAATACAAAATACACGTACCTTATTTCACATAAAGGGAAATATATCCCGAAGTCTTATAATAGTTGCCGTGTGACATCACGTCTAGAGCAATAACTTCTAAGCGTGAAAAAGGTAACGCATTCCATTCAACGTACGGGAAACGTGGACCCGGCTACAATATTGCAAAGGAATATGAATGGATTAAACGGCAATTTATCTCAATCACACTACATATATAAACGTCGTAAAACTAGTTTTATTTCATTCTGTTATATTACTAGTACAGGTATTTTCACATGACAAACGAGTCTGATGTTGGCGTAGAGTCGATGAGCTAGGAACCAGAGGAGAGGCGACAGCTATAATTTATTGAGGTTTTATTCGAAATAATCTTAACAACTATTTTACATTTTTAGATTCTTAAGGATGTGTTTAAATGTGTTTTAATTTTCGTACTTTGTAGTTTATTAATTATTTGAATGATGTTCGTCTGCCAAAAATAACTAAACCCCAAAAGGATTGTGAATAAATAAATTATTTTCAAATTAAATGACATAACGAACGTTTATCAAGAAGTTAAAAGATACGTTTAAAAATGTATATAGTAACGATATTTTCCATTAGAATGATCTACATATTAGGAAACAAAAGAAAGTAGATATTTATTTGATTGTAAATTTCTATGAATCTATTCAAATAAACTTTAAACTCGCACATCTCTCAAACTCTCTCTATACAAGAGTCTATCTGACACATGAAAAAGACAGTTTAAAGGACATATTCGTAACGTCCACGACAAAATTTGTATGAGTTAGTCAACTATACGCTTAGCTGGGCGCTATAAATCTAATACAAATGTCGATGACACTACGAAAACGATCTCACAAATATTCACAATAAGCCCTAAAATTACTGTACCCAATACCTAAATACAAACTTCACCATAAGTTGAAAAAGAAACATAAAAGTTGTTGGATCTTATGGTAAATAGTTTGAATCTTTGCATTGTGAACGACGAAGTTGATTCCATTGTAGAGAAATGTAATCTCAACTCAAACTCTACGGATCCTCAACTCAAACAATTGGTAGGCAACGCCATTGATACTCCTATCCCTACAGCAAACTGATAGAAAAACTCCGCTTTTAAAGACCAGTGAAGCGGCTAGTTGAAAACTTTTACATACTCAAAGTTTTATACTGAATAACGGATTTTAAATCTCTAAGTCGTTTTTTAACTCGTTTAAAAATATAAAATACTAACTATTGCTCGCAATCTCGTCCGTGTCAAATCAGAAAATAATAAAAAAACAACCTATGTAACAGATATATTAGCCTAATAACGTTGAAAGGATTTTTAAAATCGGACCAGTAGTTTTTGAGTTGTTTTAATACATAAATATACAAAACTTTCCTCTTATATTAAGACTTACACAAACGGAAACGGAAACGGATATTTTAACATTAAAATATTACATTTTTAAGTTACATATTTCTTTGTTATATTTAAACAGTATACGCGTACCAAATCATTCTAATATTAGCAGGAATACAAAGGAATCATAAACGTATTTATGAAAATTTAACTTTATTTTACGAATTCTATTATTCACGAACGAGATCTGAAACGAATCTTATTTCATTATAAATTTTATTTGTTTAGTCCTTTACAAAAGAATTATTCGTTTGATTACGTTAACATTAATGTTTCATTGTAATGTAAAGGAATTGTAACCTTTAAAAATATTACTGTAAATTTTTATTATAAAGAACGAAAGTTGAAAGCTTTTTTTCTCTACTATAACTAGCTTTTACTCATTTAAAAGAAAAATTAGTAATCTATACTGTTCCATTCGCAATCGTTTGTTTTTAGGTGAGTGGGTGATTAACCCTCTGCACCCTAGGCCAATGGTGGGGCTGCCACCTCCGAGCTAAAGACCTAGCTCCGTAATCTAAATCTAGTAATCTATAGCTAATGTTATATTATGTTATTAGTGGTTTTTTTTAATCGGCAAATTAGTTTTTGAACTTATTAATTACATAAAAAAAAAACAAATCTATGCTCTCTAAAATTGCTTTAACAATGTTTCATTTCTCTATTAATTAAAACAATTGCCAACTACTTTTTTTCTTTAAACCTAAAACTAACCAGCCAGTCATATTTTCCTACTTTCATACAACCTCTTTTCTTTGTTGAGCGCGTACATACCTTTACTAAACCATCGCATAACTGTTTAGTCGCGCTTTAATTCCTATGAGCGTATATGGAGGTGCATACTACTTTTTTAGTTCTGAAACTAAACAATTGAATTAGCTGCGAAACAATCGACAAACGTTATTCAAGAACGAACTTATGTAGACACTTCGTAACGTAAAGATGAAGGTAACGTTAATTACCATAAACCTTTTTTTAACATAAATAAACCAGCGCTTAACCACGACTCCAAGTCTAAGTGAAGACGCTGCCGAAGGATAGAGCGCGCTAACTCAATAAGTGCCGATTCACCCTACTCTTGAAGGCACCCACGTTATAACTGGACTGGAAACACTGAGGCCGGCAACTTGTTCCATTCCTTCCTATGTAGTGAGAATGTCGTTTGAGTATTAAATTTTGACTTGTTAACATCGTTTAACAATGTAACATTTTATTTAGATATGTTTTCTCTAAAGTCATTTCATAGCTTCAGGATAACAAAATATAAAATCGTATTATATTACGTAAGACGATATTATAACAGTAAAAATTGTACATCCCTAAGGGCAAGGGCTCGGAGATTGAGGGGAATGTATTGTTTTTCGTGACATTCCGAATGGAAGAACCTGATTCTTTTTATAAATATTTCGTGTCCTGCGAGATTACGTACGTCACGGTTAAATCAGAATTCACTCAAAACCAGACCACATACCGGAACCGGAACTCCCGATGGAATACATTTTACCTTATAACTGGTTATTTTAACCGCTGACAGAAACAATTACATTACTTATAACTAAATGTGGAACATCTTAGAGCGAGTACACACTCTTGAGTAAACTATCGCACCACAGTTCTGCGATTGTCGATTGTTTTGTACCCAATTTAACTATTACACTACTAAAAATCGAGTAGTGAGAGCATCTCCATTTAAGATCATTGGTGTTTGAGATCGAGTAATGGAGGGTAAAAAATATTGCAGCGTTTTTAATTTATATTTAATTTGAGACAAACATTCAAGGTCTCTAAATGTTATTATAGGTTATAAAATGCTGTCTTTAAAATATTAAACATAACTTTATTTGGATTTGTAACATTAGGAAACATCCCCATTGCAGATGCATTACCTACCCTTATCCGACGAAGGAAGAGACGCACATAAAGAGGATATGTCCCCATCTTATGCATCTCCTCCATCGTCAAACCCACTTCCCCTTGCTATCCTCTCATAAGAAAAGAGTGGTAAAGCGAAAGGGACTTAAATTAGGCCTACGGCACCACACTCATCAGACGAAACACGGAATTGTTTCCATTTCACGCCTGTCTTCTGTGTGGCCGTGTTATTACACTGGGCGTACCGGCCTATTTGTGCTAAGAAGTTAAAGCGGGCAATACCACTGTTAAGATCTCGAAGTAAATGCTCTTAATTTTCATAACTACATACTTTGAGTTAGTTTTAAATTTTTAAAACCAGTACTATAATAATGTCGTATAATATATAAATTAATCGGACATTTTTACAAAAATTTCATATTTTGTTTATACGCGTACTGTATTTAACTTAATCCGTATACGTTAGTCCTTTGAAATAAGATCAAAATAATTTTAATAAAATTCTTCCTTTATTAGCCATTACGAATATGATATAACAAACATTTTGCTCGCTGCTTACACCTACGAGTATAATCCTCTTTCCGTGCACGGTAAAGACCGGACCGGTTCTATTCATTTGTAATGTATTTAACGAACCAAACTATTTCAATACGGGAATTTCACTCCCTTATTATTTACGCCACATCAGCACAGACTATATTATAACCTTTGTGTATTGGAACTTAATTATTATATCCTAAGGTATATGAATTATTATAATACGCAGCAGGGCGTCGGTAGCTTCGTGGTTTAGCACTAGATTTGTAATCTACAGGTCTTCGGTTCGAATTTTTCGTATTGTCATATGTACATTTACCCAACGTTACGGTGAAGGAAAACACCGTGATGCCTAAACATATTGGCGAAGAAATTCAAAGATGACTATGAAGTCAACCATCCTGTAGTAGACCAGCATGGTTACGTATGGCCTAGTCGCTTCTAACTAAGGGTAGACTGTGAACCCCTCAGTAAGGGCATGTAGTGAGTGATAATAATGGCGTAAATGTGCAAAGAAACATAGAGTTTATTTACACTAGCTGTCGCCTGCGACTCCATCCACGTGGAGTTAAAAAAAAACACAGTGAGTAGCCTATGAGTTCTTCCAGACTATTCTCTACATCTATACCAAATTTCTTCGAAATCCGTTCAGCCGTTTAGGCTACAAACTCTAACAAATATCCATCCATCTAAACTTTTGCATTTATAATATTAGTATTAGTATGATTAAGATTTTGCAAAAAACAATTACAATAAAACGAATATTGCCCAACAATTTAAACATTGTGATATATTACGACAAAAACATTTAAAACTCGTTCTAAATGCGTAACAATAGATAGGCAGTATGTTCAAAACTAAAATATCACAAATATCATGTCCCAATATGTAAAACATTTGAGTTATCGATAGTTTCAACAGTTTTCAACTAACATTATTATTTTAACGTTCAGTTGTCGGTCAAGTACTCAAATATCACCGGCCAATACTTCAACATTTAACAATGTTAATACGTTCATTCTACGAGCATATTTATTTAACATATTGTGTTAGTTAACTTGTTGACTCACTCTTCACATATGATGAGTGTCGGTTCACTGACTAATTTTCATCATTCTATACATATAATAAAATTGGTGTGTCTATTTGTAATGTCAAAAGAAAAATTGCAGATTTCGGAAAGATGTACCTTTTTGTGTAGTTGATAACGAAAATCACATTTAAAAATTCTTTGTCTGTCTGTCTGTCCGCAAGCCGCGTCTGTTCCGGGTATTCTCCGAAACGACTGGGCCGTTTTCGATAGGACTTTCACTAGAAGGTAGCTGACATGGATAGGCATATTGTAGACAATTTTTTTTAATTCCGCGCTGTCAAAATGGCGTAACGGGTAGTCAAAATTCACACTAGCGAAGTTTGCGGGCGACATCTCGTACAAAAATATATTACTATCTCTATTTTTTCAAACAGAATAAGGGGGAAATTATTATTTCACGAATGTGGCGCTAGTAGAAGCCTACGGTTACGAATTAGTTCAACAATAAATGTAATCTAATCATATTGTAAAACTTAATGTAAGCTTTTGTAGTTATGATGAGCGATGGTATTTTGGTCATAAAGATAAAATATATATCAACGGACAACAAATAGGGGACACTTTTAACATATAGTCTGACCAGGAATATTAAAATTCATTCCATGTTGCATAATAATAAATCACTGATTTTGATGAGCACAAGAAAGTGATGTAATAAAGACGATTGAAACGCCTATAGTCTAAGATTTTATATTCCACTGGCAATACCATTACTATCACAAAATGTACTAACTTCAACTAAGGGTCACTTTGTTTAGCATAAATATCTTTAAAGAACTGCTGAAATTTTAAAACACGTACTACTAAGTCGAACAGTATTTTCTAGTAAAAATGTGGATTTTATAGTGCAAAAGCACAAGTACAAGTAATCTTAAAATTGTACAAGCAAAATTGAAACAATGGGATTATGTTTTTGTACTATTTTTCGAAAGTAGAAAACACTAGAATGTAGACATGGATACATTCTGTGTCTCAGTTAACTTTATCTGCTAACCCTACAGTAGCATGTGAGTTGAAAAGAAAAAAAACTAATTTATCCTACAAATATGTTAAATATCAAATAGCAACTTTATTCATAAATATTAAGAGCTCTTATCTGTATAGATAGGAACAATAGAAATCAAGACTAAACTTTAGTTTTTGTAATACAAAGGGTTTGGAAATAATTTTAGTATACGCAATGATCTAAGCATGAAATATGGTTATTAAGGTCTTACAGGAAGCTACAATAAAATATATTAACTAGTAACTTCTATGACAAAGTAAATCTGTATTATTCTAAAAATTGTAGAGAGAATTTGGTTATGTCACCATCATCACCAGCTATACGGGGTTCGCAGCCAACTCTACGTCGTGGTTGTGTTTCATACTAAACTTTTCGTTTAAAATTAACAAAATTAAACGTTTATGTTGAATAAGTTTAACTTTAATCTCGGATAATGTCAGGATCGTTTCCTGTTTTAGAAAGTTTCGTTTTGAAACAGATTTTAAACTTTTACTAAGTCAAGAACTCTAAAATATCATTGAATGGTGATATTGTACTTAATTTGAATGATGATAGAACCTTCTTCAATTTCAATGGACAATATTCAAAAGAAATAAAATACCTTTGTTTAAATAAATACTTTTTAAAAAAAATATAAAAATACTTCAATTCACAAAAAGAGGTTGTATACTATTTTTGTAGACTTTAAAAAAATTACGATAGTAAAAATATCGTACCATTTTTAGTTCAGATTGATTTTTGACGCATTAAATTTAGATTGCTTCTATATTTTTGTTGCTATTTTGGGACCATTCGAACTCTAGAGTATGAACTGTTATTTGAATCGCTTTTTTGTAACAGAAATTGAAGCGGATTTCTAAAGGTACGCGCCTAACATAAAATTTAAATCTATATTTATGAAATATCTAGTTAACAAAATCGTTTTCCTATTGACTTTAACTAGAATTGTCTTTCGAAAATATCTATCTAGTTTTATTGTTCCAAAATTATATTCGTAGGCGAGAGGTATCCAATACTCCTCCAGGGAATTTGTTAAGCAAATTTCATACCTTCTAATATTAGGAATATCAGGTTTTATTGGTTTATAATCAGGTAACAGGTAAAGTTGTAAATTATTAATATGTAAGTTTGAATTCCCGTCTCGTTTGCGTAGAGAGAGTAATCAAAGGTGATATATGGCTTATGATTTATGTGAATTATTATATGTTACTAAATGTATTTTAATTATTAATCGACTGTTTTAAAATATTAAGCTCACGAACTTTTGCACAAAGGCGTTGAAAAAAAAAACTTCAACGGATTTCCGGTATTTTAGGACTCTGTTGTAACCAAACTTTACCAATAAACCAAATTTTAATATATTTCCTTATGTAACTTGAAACGTTATTTCATATAAAAACTTTTACAAACTGAGAAGCTACAATTTACAGATTAACAATTAAATAAATTGTTACAACAAAATTAGTAACAATTGCCTAGTAATTTATTTATAAAAAAGTTTTATTTTAGTACACTAAAAATTAAAAAATAAGTTAATTTCTGGGCTATTTTAATATATCAAACAAAAAGAAATTAAAAGTATTTCCTATACCTGATTTTTATAAACACATCGAAATTAAAAAAAAAATGAAATGATGAGACTGTGAGACTAATTACGTACCTCAGATTTCTCGACTGCGGGGCCGCTCGAAACTTCTCAACTTGGTTGAAGTTAGGACGCGCGAAAGTGCAACAAGTGTTAGCGGCCTGGTCGCCGGCGGTCTCAGCATTTATACTCAGCGCTGGGCGGGCTAGAGGCGGGGCTACGCACGCGTACCTTACAACTTAAAACTCTACGAAGGAAATTAAATGATAAAACTATATTATACGTCATAACTTCAACTATAACTTAACGCCCACGAACTTTAACTCATTATTCATTCACTAAAAATAGCATTTCGAAAATAGCATTGCATTAAGTGCTACGCCTCGTAGATCACAGGCTACGAGTTTTCGTAGACGCACAGACACACACTACAATTATTTTGGTCATAACCCAGTTATTTAGATATTCAATTGATATATTTATCAACGTATTGGTAATATTCGTGAATACAATAAAATAAATAAATACATTAAAATAGCTAAAAGTTCAGAAAATAATCTGTCAACATCGAAATAAGTAAAAAATAACCAATAATACTTCAATTTGATCCTATCGTCATACAGATTTTATATTGATCAAATATAAAACAATTATTTATCATTAAGAAAACTTTAGGCATAAAACTAACAAAAAAACTCTAAACAAATCAGCGTTCAATATCTCACCCGTCTTTCAGTAATACTAGGAATTACCAAATAACTTATTAGCTTATCAACTATTTCACATCTTCGTAAGTTACCGTCTTCAAGCAATGAAACCTCGTTGAGACAAATAAAGGATACCTGACCCAATTATAGTTAATTACAGCGATAAATTCGTTAACTGTTCTGCGAGGAATTTCAAACTATTGATTAAGGATGGAAACCTGTCCGAAATATGACAATATTAAACGCAAATACTGACTAATTTCAAACTACGCCTCGAATATAAATAGTTATTGAAATGTAGACGTATTTACGCATTGCTTTTGTTTCATGAACTAAGCAAAAAAGTAACTAGTCTTTGCTCACGACTCCGTCCGCGTGGAATAAACAACAATAAAAGTATCTATGTGTTTCTCAAGACTATCCTTTACATCTATACCAAATTTCATATAGATACGTTAAGCAGTTTAGGCTACAAACTCTAACAAACATCCATCCATTCATCTAAACTTTCGCATTTATAATATTTGTATGATTGTCAACATGTCTCCACTTGAAAACACTTGTAAAAAATCTCTTTTAAAAACAACACAAAAGTTTTATAATCATTTCATTAATAGAAACCGAAGATTAAGGTAGACCGTAAGTAAAATTCAACGCTTAAGGGGACACCGTGGGGTTTTAGTCGGTGCGAGTCCGACATATTCCGACTCTAGGTTCCAATGAGTCGGAATATACGTAGGCATTTCCACACGTAACAAAAAAAATAGAATGTACGTAAATCATGTAATGAAGCCATTAATGTTAACATTATTATATGTTATATTTTGTGTAATTAATTAACTAATAAGACAGTATCAAAACGTAATTAATCGTGACATTTGGTCTATAGTTAAGTACAACATATTGCTAATAATTGCTTCCGGCTTTTACTGTTGGGTTTCACTGACGAATAATTTGTACATATGTAAATTTTTATTGAAATTCGCCAAAATAACGAAGTGACTGTCGCCCATAGACATCCGCATCAGATAGGCAACGCAGGGTGAATACAAAAGGAGGATGTTTCCTATATCTATGAGTTCTGTCCCCATCATTTTGTAAACTCATATGACAGCTAAAAATGTATGAAATTGAATACTTTGTAAGCAGCACTTTACAAATATCCCAGTGTCAGTTACAATCAACGTAACTTCATATGCAATTTTATCAAACATCGTGCTACTTTCATGCCAGTTAGAGTATACATGTACCTGTTGCTGGCACGTGCCAGTAACTAGTATGCGAATGTGCCAGTTACTAGTATGCAACCCAACTTCAATTCAGTATGTATGTTGTACATTTATTAAATAATCTGTTAATGCGTATCTAAGTACCTTACAAAGACATTTAATTAATATAGACGAGGAATATTAAACAACATTTAGTCTCAAGTGAAGTGTCAACTATTCCTCCTCTGTATGTTTTAAACTCTTTGACCTTAAACATAAATGTGTGAAAAATAATTTCTATGACCATATTTGAAAGTATATATTTATTATAGTTGTATAGTTGTAAAACAAAATAAGTTATTGAATATTCTACGGACGTCTGTCCATCATAGGCTACATTATTTGGTTGAAAGGGCATCGTGTCTTCCGCCGCGTTGGCATTACGTTCACGTATCTCTGTTAAAAAGTTTTCAAATTTCTCTGACATGTTTTACAAAAGCCATTACGATTCGAATAATTTACAGTTCCAACTGAACTATTTTTCAGTTTATATTTGTTTTAATATATTTACTGTTTAGTAGTATTTATATTAATAACTACCTATTGCCTGTTCATGCAATATTAAGATCAATAAAGTACCCTAAAATATGCCCGTCTATATCAACTACCCTTCAGTGAAAGTCCGTAAAAATCGGTCCAGTCGTTTAGGAGGTTACCTGGAACAAACGCGGCTTGCGGACAGACAGACAGACAGATAGACAGGCAAAAAAATTAATTTCTTGTGTAATTATGAATTTAGATAATTTTAACCGACTGGTAAAGAGGGAAATGTTTTTCATGTGTATGTAACTTTGTTTCTATTATCTAATTCTATATTTAAACGTTCTCCAGTAAATGTACGCATAAAGGATTAACACTATGAAGGTATCCTATTAAGGTTTTCACAAAGATACGAATAAAGGAAGTATTCCTTTCAACTTGATTGGAGAGAACTCGTTTGATTTTATTGTTATTGCGTCGAAACTAATTTTGAATTAATTTAATTGTTGGTAACACGTAAAAATAATAAAATGTGTTCTATTTGTACTTTCCAATTACTGAAATTCTTATTTGGTTTTATTTTTATGAGAAGGAGGCAAACGAGCGGCGGGAACACAAAGGTGGTCAACGACGGCCATGGACATCCGCATCTTGTTCCGTGTTTCAATGGTTACTTAGAATTAACCAAAATTGTAGATGTCTCACATTAAATCTACACTTAGGGACATTTATGTGATCACTTAACTACTGGCTCTAAATATACTATAGTTTTTTATGATTTCTGTTCTTGTAAAGCACAGACTAAAAAAAACCTTGGGACTCGTAATACAATGGATATCCAGTTAAATGAAATTTAACACAAATAAATAAGTTTTTTTCAATAAATGTTACCAGTATAATTTGTTTGTGGCATTTTAAAAGAGCTCTATATAATGAAATTACAAAAACTCTTTTTGATCTCTAACAGACAATTTAATGTCGAGGGCAACAGATGTTTATGAAAATTGCTTTGTCATTTGAAGCTGGATTTGTTAGCTACATTTACGTGGTACTAAATACACTACTAATATATTTTAAAACTGTTTATAGCAGATTTAAATTCCTGAATTCAATATTGTCTGAACATTATCAATTTATATTGATCCATAATGTTAACTGCTTATTTGCTAAGTCTAAATATATTGTCGCGACGTCATCTATTGATGAGTAGCGAAAATCATATTCGAGGAATAATCGAGCTGTTTCCAGAATGTTCGATCGCCGCGAGCAGCGAAAATGACGTTCTCGAAAAGATGTCTCGAACATTCGCAACGGCTTCGAGAATGTTCCATTATGAAATTTATGTAATTCGGACTATCGAGAAAGTTCTGGAATAAAATGATAAATGAATAACGAAAAGAAGATCAAAATTCGGGGTATATAAGGGGAGTCAGTCGTTACTCGGGGAGTGATACGGTGGACAGTGAACTGTGAAGAAGAAGTCCTGAGCTAATTACGAGGAAGATTAAGTGACCGCGGAGTGAAAGTGCTAATGAATTGTGACAGTGTTGTTCTGTAAAGTGCGCTGTGTTAGTGATTCAGTGTTTGCGTGCATCGTGTACTCTTGACGGACGATTTGTGAGTGCAGTGAATCCCTGTTATTGTAAGTCGCGAATAAATTAACGTAGAAACTTCCAAGGCGTTTTGACTCTATCCCGCACGCTCGTAACAATATAGATTTAATTACAATGTTTGAAATAATATTGAAGTTGAAATAAAAACAAGTCGTAACCACTTAAAGTCTCTGTATGCAGTAGGAAATATTAAAGTTCGTTTTTTTGACAACTGTGATATCTCTATCCGTATTTACGTTTCTCAATTATTATTTTAGTCTCAATTAAGGTAGGGCATGAGAGTTGCTCATTTCTAATTATCTCTGTGACATCTACATAGCCCGTCTTGTTTGTTTGACAGCTGGGTCGTATTAAGTCAGCCGAGATTAGATTGTAATTAGTTAAACTAATTATACTGGACATCGTGCACCGTAGACTTAGGTATATCTAGTAGGTAAACGATATGTAAGAGCTTTACTAAAACTAGCTGTTACCCGCGATTCCGTCCGCATGTGGTAGTGCCCGCTTTAACATCTTAGCACTACAGGGCCGGCACGCCCGGTGTAATACCACGACCACACAGAAGACAGGCGTGAAATGGAAGCAATTCCGTGTTTCGCCTAATGTGAGTGTGGTACCGGAGGCCTAATTTAAGTCCCTTTCCCTTTACCACCCTTTTCTTATAAAGAGAGGTTGGGAAGAGGAAGTGGATTTGACGGTGGAGGAGATGCATAGGAAGGGGAAATATCCTCTTTATGTGCGTCTCCTCCTCCGTCGGATAAGGGTAGGCAACGAATCTGCAATTGCAGATGTCTATGGGCAGCGGTCGCTTCGCCATTTTGGCGATTTCAGGTGGCCGCTTGCTCGTTTGCCACCTTATGTTATAAAAAAAAATGTAATTATAAAAAAGTAAGTAGCCTACGTGTTCTTCCAGACTATCCACTACATCTATGACAAATTTAATCTGATCAGTCGTTTAGGCTACAAAATTTAACAAACATTCATCCATTTAAACTTTCGCATTTATAATATTGGTAAGATTAAATGTGAATTCCTCTAACAACTAAAAAATGTATCGCAAGACTTAAGTTATAATTAGTTATATTTAGACAATCTAAATATGTTCCGATTTTAATGTTATCGTAGTTGTAAAACATGCTTTCAATAACCTAATCCCAGTACGCCAATTACGAGAGGTTCGTTTAAAATTAACGCTAATATTGTATCAATACAATAAGCAGACAGTTCCGCTCTAAAGGCCGATAGTTACGCACCAGTACTTATTGAAGCTCGCGCACTTCAAATAAGTAGGGTGACAATGATTAAAATTACAATTCAAGATTATATCTTTACGATGTAATATTAAATCTGACGCAAGATGTATATGTTTGGTCCGCCAGCAGTACTGTGACTGCTGTTTCTTCAGAAAATATGTTTTCATACAGAAAATGACACATTTACTGTATGAAAACATAGACAACTTTATTTTATATTCAATATACAAAGAAAAATATACTTACATAATGTAGAACTGGATGGTTTTACAACTGATTTGATAAAAGATACAGTCCGTGGTTATTTTTAAAGTTGGTAACCCTAATAGTACCTTTTAATTAATCAGCAAGCCGTATCAGACGCGCTATTGCGCTGTTGTGGTGAAACTACGAGAATTCGCTAAAATGTAATGCCAATAAAATTCACACATGACGGCAGATTTACATTTTAGAAACACCCACCTATTTTCTTACCCACAAACACGAGTATTAGAGCGCATAATAGTTCAGTCTTAATTTAGAAGACTTAGGATCTTATTAAAAAATCTAGATAAATAATAAATTGTAATTTATTAGTGCAGTTTGCTGTATGATGCATTTTGCACACGAAGACACTTGTGTTATATTGTAATTATTTTTTTTATTACCGTAGCCATAATAAAGTTAGAATATGTCTAATCTCTTAACCTGTCAAAAATTCATAATACACTTGTACATCCTCAATCTTCAACTCAACCAACTTAAAAGAAAACTAACCAGCTTAAATGTATAAATGATTTTAGCGCCATCTATTTATTGCTTTGTCAAAATGTAAATAGTTTGTGAAAATGCTGGAAGATGTTTATTTTTGCACTTTTAAATAAGCACAGTTATAGGAAAATAAAAGTACTAATTATAAAAAAAAATCCAACCAGCAAATTCCATGTAATGCTAAAAGCCATGCAGCCTATATAATTTAATTTTGGTCTATAGATAAACTGGAAACACCATTTTATTTTTTTAATCTGTGATTTTTTTATTGTTTTGACAAATGACATTTAACAATGTCAAAGTCAATTTCAAATTCAAATCAATTTTGTAACCGACGTGCTTTTTCCGTTTTTACAACTTTTTAGATAACTATTACTAAAAATGGTAGTTAACAATTCATTGCAAAAACTTTTAGAAACATTCCCAAAATATGTAACTGAAGTGCAATCAAGTCCCAGCTATGTAGAAATGTATACTGGAAATAATAAAGACATTTTGCTTGTTTACGCTAAAGTAAATATTTTATTGTAGTTTATTAATTGATACTTATTGAACGTTTTAAACATTAACTTTATGTTTTAAGGGAAAGCAGTCGACTGGGCCCACAGATGGTTGTAAAAATAATAGAATATCAGGTAGATTTATATTTACATATTTATAAAACTAATATATTTGTAATGTAATAATTTTCGATTGAAAGGCATTTTTCCATTTTTAGATGAATTAGAACTCACTGGATCTCCATTAAAACTCGATCTTAGTCTTCATACATTATTGGATGAAACTATGATGCCTGATGAACCACAGCTGTGGAGGAAAGAGGAAAATCTTCATAACTCTATAGACATTGATACAGCAAGGTTATTTTATTCATGTTCATTAAAAGATAACTAAGTTAACTCTGGCTTAAGTACAAAAATAGGTAACACACAATACCGCGCATGTAATTCACTATTCCCAATAAAATATTTGTTTTTGTATTTATTTACTAAATTGCAACTTCTAGTGTCCAAATAAACCTTCAATAATCTTTAGAGATACTTTCCTTATAATGTATTACAAAAAAAAATAATAACTGATGTTTTCTTCAAATTCCAGAGAAATAGCAAATTTCTACAATAAAATCTTGTCAGAAACAAATAAGGATGATTCAGTACCAATGTGGGTGTTATGTAACCCTTCATCAGAGAATAAACCCTTGTTGTTATCTATACAATCAGATAACAATAACTTTACAAGAGGAATTGTTACTTATGAAGGTTCGTCAACATTGGATGAAGTGGATGTAGAGAAATTGATTCAAGATTTTGCAATTCAAGCTGGAGTAAAAGAAGATATGGTAAGTTAATTATTTAAGAAAGTAACCAATGTTATAGAAAATTTGTATTTCAACTAAATTAAAGATTGTATTGTTCGCTGAAGTACCATGTTAATATTTAAATCACTCTGCACTTTGATGGTTACATCTTACTTATAGTTTAAACTAACTTTAATACAACTCAGTCTGTGTTGATTTAAAAAAAAAATAATTAGTAGCATATATGTTCTTACAGAGTACCTAATCTGTGCTATATTTCATCAAGATCTATTAAGCATTTTTGAATATGTGTAGTAAACACCTTCCATCCACCATCTGTAAAAGTTGTTAGAAATTTTTTGGCATTTCAAGTTTATAAATAAATTTATGTCAATCTTATTCTTATAATTGTAAATGTTTTTTTAAATTCCAGGTAAATATATCAGTAGATTGCAAATATGTTTTGTCTGGAACAACATATACTTCAACAAACACAGATGAGTTGTTGAACGCCCCACATGGAGGAGTTACTGAACTACTATGTTCATGGTCTGTCAAAACTCTGCTTACACCATACATTAACTGTAAAGTTAACTATGTAAGTTCATTTTTTACTACCTTTTACATGTAATTCCATCTACATGAAATTCAATTTAACAAAAGTAAGTAGCCTATGTTTTCTTCCAGACTATCCTCTACATCTTTACTAAATTTCATTGAGATCCATTCAGTAGTTTATGCTATAAACTATAACAAACATCCATCCATATTCCTACTTATTTGTATTATTAGTAATTATAAGATTCTTATGTAAATGTATTGCTATTATGCATTGAATCCTTATATATTAAATAAAAGAATATAAAATACATTGCAGCTTTTACACCAATTAATTTTGCACTTATTTTGTAAAAATAATGATTCATTGTGCAATATTTTGATTTTACTTTAGTTTATTTTCAATGTAATAAATGTTTTAGGCGCAAGAAGTGATTGTAGGTCATTTAGCAAGTCCATGTAGCACAATATGGAAGTCTGTTAGTTCATTACACAATATTAACCAAATTCTTGTAGAAATGACAGCCGCAGGCTTCAGTTCTGTTAATTTAGAAACTGCTCAAATAAGGTAATAACTAAACTATATCTATGAATTTTTTAAATGTACAGATGTGGTTTTTCTTAAGAATATTTGATTTTTTAAGGATAATTCTATATCTAATGTTTAACTTAGAATTCTGAATATCTATGACACACGTAAATTCTTTTAAATTACTCTTTAACTGACATTATATTTATAGAAATTTTAACTGTTTATCTTTTTGTTATCTAAAGTAGTTATTAGTATATTAAATGCTAGCTGTTGCTCGGTACTTCGTCTGAGTGAAATTAGGAAAATATTAGAATATATAGCCTACTAGCTTTCGCCCGCGACTCCGTCTGCGTGGAATTAAAAAAAAAACAAAAGCGAGTAGCCTATGTTTTCTTCCAGACTATAATCTAGGCCAAATTTCATCACGATCCGTTCAGACGTTTAAGCTACAAACTCTAACAAACATCCATCCATCCAAACTTTCGCATTTTTAATAGATTGGTATGATTTTACTCACTGATAATGTAACTTTTTTATGGTTAAAGAATTTTCGAAATCGGCCCAGTATTTTTAGTTATTTCAATACAGACCAAAATACAAACCTTTTTATGTCATCAGTCAAGTATAAGCATATATCAAATTGTGATTTTTTCTTAAGGATTTTATAAACATTTTTTTCTTTCTTTCAGAAATACAGTGCAAGTTATGAAAGTACCTGATGTAACGAAACGTTTAAACAAATTGTTTAATGAGACAGAGATATATACTTATACCGCGGAATGCCCCGCGGGAGGCTGCATCTGTGTCACAGAGGACACAGACAGTCTGCGGCAATGTTTATCTTCTATGGCAGTTAATGGCTCCAGTAATGATTTTACATACAAACTATGGGATATTTTAAGAGGTATGTTGATTTTAGCATCTATCCAGTATGACATAAGGTTTGTTATCAAATAACTAGAAGATTTTTTAGTGATTTTACAGTGATTAGATATTTGTTTTTTACAGATTGTGCTAATGCGGAAGAATTAATCACTTTATTATTGCAAGCACTAAAGTTTGTTTCTTCAGGGAAAATAAGGCCATTTGTAAGTAAAAAAATCTTTTTTAGATTTTGTTTGTTGCAAGATGTCAATATGTTTTAATGGACTTTTTTTGGTTAATACCTCGCTTTTTAATTGCAGAGAAATTGTATTGTTTGTTTTTTTATTGTCTCCAGAAATACAACTTTTACATATAAATGAAACATTTTTTTTAAGTTGTTTATTTTTTATTTACAGATAGACGTGAACAATAAAACGTATTTATCTAAATTAATATTAAAGTTATCTAGAGGTCATTCTCAGACGTCTAAAGTGCTAAAGAACCTCCATTCCAGTCCTCCGCAAGCGCTGTCCTTACTAGCTCAGGTGGCCGTTGAGAAGACAATGTGGGAGTACACCAAGCTAATGTCTCTTCTAGAACATTCTTTTTACATCGCTGGTATATGGAATGCTGATATAAGGTAAAAAAATATAATTCTATAGTTGTAGGCCGAAATATAAAAAATATAATGAATTTTTTTTTTTATTATTTCGGATTTTTTAAATTATTTTTTTAAAAAGTTCATCTCAAATACATCTGCCGATATGATTTTTTTTAATATTGCAGTCTTTACTGTAATGTTTTTGTATTTTTAATGCAGTTTTCTCCAGTCTCAAGGCTGACATGTTCTTTATATTATGATTGCGGGCGACAGCTAGCATTTAAAAAAGTAAAAGATTTTTCCACTGGATGATACTAGGCAAGGACAGAAATACTAGTCAGGCAATTACTGACGTAATTGTGAAAAATTTTTATGGTTTTTTTTAATATTTCCAGAACACACGAATCGATAGAACAGATAAACCAAACGATACAAGATATGACGATGGGTGGAGATTTTACTCTGAATCCCTTCGAGAGTGTGAGCACAGGAGAGCACTCCATACGACTGGACTCCGACTCCTTCTATGCCGAGGACAATGAGCTCACCGTGGATGACTTCGCCTCGCTCAAGAAACATGGCTTGGTTAATGAAAGGAAAGATGTTAATGAGGTATTCAATTTGTATTATTTTAAAACTAGCTTTCGCCCGCGACTCCGTCCGCGTGGAATTAAAAAAAAAATGTTAGTAACCTATGTGTTCTTCCAGACTATCCTCCACATTGGTACCAAATTTCATTGAAATCCGTTCATCCGTTTATGCTACAAACTCTAACAAACATCAATCCATCCATCTATCCATCCATCTAAACTTTCATATTTATAATATAAGTATTAAGTATGATGTTTATAACTAGCTGTTGATCGCGACTTCGCCCGTGTGGCTTTGAAGAGATAAAAGTGAGTAGTCTATGTGTTTTACCAGAGTATCCTCTAGATCTGTGGTAAATTTCATCGAGATCCGTTCAGACGTTTAGGCTAAAAATTCCAACAAACATCCCTCCATCTAAACTTTCGTATTCATGATATTAGTAAAATATGTCCGATCAATGTGGCATATAGTAAAATGGAAAAAAAATAATTATTATTTTTTTAATATAGCATCTTTTATATATTTTTTTCCTCATATAATGCCTTATCTTTTTTGTACTTGGAATCGACATCATGGCTTTTTTCCTCTCCTAATAAATTTCATAACAACTAAGGTAGTAAATATTACTTACAGGTACCATTAATAGCAGATGAAATAGACATAAGCCCGTGGAAGAATTTACTTATGAAGTTTGCTCAAGTGCATGTCTGCTTGGAACATTTGTATCGCGTAGAGACATGTTTGAGAGCTAATTTCGGTAATGTTAACTGTTTCTTCTCCTATTTCTTAATAGTAAATGCTAATAAAACATTCATGTTCTTACATTAAGGGGTAAATCTCGCTACATACGTTCAGTATTACTGTACTCACAGTTTTAACTGAACAGTTAAACTGTTCAGTTTAAAAGTGTTATGCAAGAAAGGGACAAAATTACAAGCCAATAGCAAAGAAGCAAGGTTGTCATGGTTACGGCAATTCTCATCCAATTTAACAGCAAAGGTCTTTTTATTATTTAAGCATATTTTAACTTTTGTATTTTAAAGTTTTACGGAATGTTAACAATATTTTTTTTTATTATTATCAAGATGAAGCCGCAGGGAACTATTCTTACTCTATTACTAATTTTAAATGCAAAAGTTTAGATGTTTGTTAGAGTTTGTAGCCTAAACTGCTGAACGTATCCCGGTGTAAATAGGCATAGATGTAGAGGATAGTTGGAAATAACACATAGACTACATACTTTTTTAATTCTACACGGACGGAGTCGTGAAAGCTAACCTATCTTACTAATATTATCTTACTAATATTATAAATGCGAAAGTTTAGATGGATGCATAGTCTGGAAGAACACATAGGCTACTTTTTATCCCGGGAATAGTTACGGTTCCCGTGGGATTCATTAATTTAGTTTTTTAATGTTCATTCGATCATTTTGCAACGGTTCAACATATCTTATTGAAATTTGGCACAGATATAACACAAAGTCTGGAGTACACATGGGATGAGCTTCATCCTAGAGAAATGTCCGGTTCCCGAGGGATACGTAGCTTTTTGTAATTTTTATAGTTCGTATGTTTTCTAATACCACGCGGACGAAGTCGTGGGCAACAGCTCGTATATTATAATGAGGAAAGATTTTTATTTTTGTATACATTGGAATAACTCAAAAACTACTGGTGTGATTTCAAAAATTCCTACGCCATTAAACTACGTTATCACTGAGTATCATAGGCTATGGTTCTTATTTTTTTTATGCGGACGAAGTCGCGGTTGAAAGCTAGTGTTTAATATTATCTTTTGTTTGCAGATCAAATGAAACCGATAGCTTCAAAGTTATTAGAGCTGTATGTATCGGAGAAGTCTCCAGTGAGGGCTGTGGGTCAGTTGTTGAATGACCCCGTGCAAACCATTTGTATACCCATCACTAATAATATCGTACAAGATCATTTAAAGTAAGTTAAAAGAAATTGTATTAAGTTAACAAAGTGTAAAACACTCTGTATAATCCTAAAATTATATTTAGACACGTGATTTTAAATGGCTCTGATATGTATTGTCGCTGTTTCATTATTAATATCTCTCATTTTTGTATTTATTGTTCTAAATGTCGCATATCTCAAGCCTAAAAATAATACTTTTTTTAATATTCGTTTCAATAGTCTCTTTGTTGAGTTTTTCCCGTTGGGCTGATCAGCCCACCAAACGTAAAACCCAATAGGTATCTATTTCTTTCAAATTTTCCCATTGTGTCAATTGTTTGTATGGATATGATCAGCCCAATGGGAAAAAAATCTCGGGTCGATTGACCGTTGAGCCGATCGGCCCAACGAGAAATCCCGATTTTGTTAGCGATTGATGTTTTAACCTTAAAATGTATTTAAAATACCAAGTTCTTTATAGTTAGATTATTTCTAGAAAAATGGCGTTCTGGTATCGTATGGAAGTGACGAAGAAAGATGAAGATTCTGGATTCAAGAGAGACATGAAGTCGGTTTTCGTGTTCTCTCAGACGCCGGTATTTCCACCTTCTGTTTGGCAACATTTAGGTAAGTTATATGTAAAGTGTTATAACGCTCAAATTATAGTTTTTGTGTTTCCCGTTAGAATTTTTTTTTCCCATTGGGTCGATTGATTTATTTTGATTGACTCATTTTTTAAGAGGAACGAATTTATTTGAAAAAGTAATTCATGTTGTACCTTTTTTAAGTAATTGGATTCTTCAGTTTTCAGTATTAAAATCAGATAAACTATTGCTTGTAAATTTTCCCTGTCAGTTGGAGTTATAAGGTAGTAATGTCATACAATAATGAATTAACATCATAATAATTAATTTCATACTGATGTTTCGAAGGCTTCTATGTTAATTGTCGTATGGTAAAACTATTTTTTTTACGATTAATATAATATAACCTTCAAATACGAAATTATAGAATCGTTAACCAAAATCTACAGTTCTTTCTAACGTTAAATTCACACATAAATAATTATTTATCAAGTTAATTAAAAATATATGAAACAAAGTTAATCGCAAAATTGTGACTTACCATAGTTTACGAAGGAGCCTTTTTACCTATGTTATATTTGTTTTAGAGCCGTCAACTGAAGATGTCGCTGAAGTGACTACGATTGGTGAAGAATTGAAATATCATTGCACAAAATATACTTACATCAGCAATAAATTGACAAGAAAACTAAATATTTAGTATGTTTGAAAATGTATTTAAAGACAATTATCATTATATGTTTACATTTATATTAAATATAAGAATAATAAAATTTGTTAGGTATTTACTGTGTGTTTTAAAACGAGAAGCTCTCTAGAGTTATGAAATGAACAATTTTTTTGTTACAAAAAATATCTAATACTAATTATTAAAAACTATAAAATATTCTACGCAGAGCTAAGTTAACTAGTTTATCTATATACTAATATTATAAAGAGGAAAGATTTGTATTTTTGTATGCATTGCAAAAATTACTAGGCCGATTTAAAAAATCTTTCACCGTTAAAAAGGTACGTTGTCAGTGAGTAACGTAGCCTATAGTTTTACTTTTTTTTAATTCATGCAAGCAAAGTCGCGAGCAACAGCTAGTAATTAAGTATAATACACAATGAACTCATGTAACATATTTTCACTACACGTTTACTTTGGCAATGAATGCAAAAGACAATAAATCTAGTCGACCCACTTGTTAACCGATTTTTTTAATTATACACGTAACATCAGAAACCCGAAAATAACCAATCGATAGCGTAAACTCGCAACAGGAACAATGTCTTTGATCTCTGAGGTTAATAAACGCACTGATGGACGTAAAGCAGTCAATTTCTTTTAGTGTTTGATTATTTTTGTAATGCAAGAGAAGTTTTAAAAACTTCCAGCTTCGTTTGCGTTAAAAATCTTTCAAATTAAAACGAAATATCAGGATATTGATGCAGTTACTTCGATATCAGTATTAAGTTGATAAAATACTAAGGGCCTGTCCCACCACTGGCTGATAGAGGCTCAGATAGCTTTAAAGTGAAGTCAGTCAGATAGAGTACTAAAATCCGATACTATAACATATTTTATACGTCGGATTGTTATCAGACAATTCGCAAGAATGGTAGGACAGGCCCTAAGTAATTATTACCACCACCATTAAAAGACCATTAAAAGTTTTGTAAAACCCGTGTGTAAATTACTAAAGAATCTGGTTTGTGGGAACAACGCTTCTTAAAATATTTACTCCACTCCCCATGTCCTGGTGATCTCATTTCCTCTGTTATGTATGATCGATATAATATCAGATTTAACGATCTTCCAGATATGTACAGTCGCAGAGAGAAATCTAAGATAACTTTATATATAACTAGCTGTTCCCGTGCGACTTCATTCGCATGAAATTATGAAAATTGTTTTATTGATTACATTTGTCAAATTCAATTGCAAATGTCAAAATGACAAACATGACATGGCAAAGCATGGCAATTTTGTTTCCTTGATGTTGGCAGAAACTTCTGGTCTCTTTCCCACATTAGGGTTTTTATCCAAAATATTTACCCCCAAAGTTTAATGGCGTTAAAACCTAAAGCATGACGTAAGTGTTGGTATTTTCATTAAAAAGAATTATTCAAAAATATGCTGTAATTGCTGACATTTTAGGCAACAAAGAAGTGTGTGTTTACTCTTTATTATGATAGTATAGGTTAAGAATTGAAAAATAAAGTAGGAAGCAAAGCACCAATAGTAAGTAAACTACGTAGAAATTATACACAAAAAAGTACAGGTATTTTTAATTTTCTTTATTTATCGAATAATTTATTCAATTCAATTTTTCCCGCGGTTTTACTCTGTAAATTATTCTCTTATAAGGATTTTTGCGTGATGTTATAAAGAAAACTTTATATATGTCAATAGTAAAATGTTTTTATACATGTTTATTATTGTGGAAACTTAGTATAATAGTTATAAACACCTTACGTGTACTATTTTGGCTTGTTTGTTCATAATTCAAACATTGTTTTACAATTTCACTAACAAAGTTTGTCGGTGGCTGTACTCCCAACTCCTGTTCGTGTGTTTGTTTACTTGAGGGGCCACGTGCACTAATTATCCTCTTATTATTCAATCATATTGTAAAGCTATTCGTGGCTTGTTTGGGCAAACGTTCCGGCTAGTGGGTTATGTCTTACATCCCACTTGAAATCTTCAGGGACTCTCTGACTTATTTTTACTTAATACCACGAGACGATATATATTAGAGGAAGTTTGAGAGTAGCCCCAGTGGTTGAGAAAATAAGGAGAAAAGGTTAGAGTGGTATGGGCATGTTATAAGAAAGGATGAATCGCATGTAACAAGACGGACGTTAGTTATGAATGTGGAGTGGTACACCGGTAGAGGTAGACCTAGAAAGAGATGGATGGATTTCGTGAAAGGTGACATGACCAAGAAGGGAGTGATGACTGAGATGACGGATAATAGAGTTATTTGGAGGACGAAAACCTGGTGCGCCGACCCTACGGGAGTAGCATAAGGCAGGAGAGACAGGGGAAGTATAGTTATGAGTGGAGGTACAACGGTAGAGGTGAAACACGATCAAGAAGAGAAGAAGAGAGGAGATAAATTAAGCTGGAGTAAGGGGAAACTGTCCCATCGATCCTCTTTTAGGATAAGGATGGAGATAATCATAAGGTAATGTGGACGTTGCATTAATTTACCTTTGAGTCCCAATTTAAATGTAATTACATTTGTAGAAAAAAGTTTCTTTTGAGCAAAAATTAGATACTAAATGAGTTATGCCCTTTTGCTTGAAGTTGTCATTTTAAGAGCGGACATCTTTGACTAAACTATCGCACACTGTAGTGCAATAGTTTAGTCGCACAACTAAAAATCGAGTAGTGTGCACTTCCATATAAGCTCAAAGGAATCAAAGGCTACTAAACAGTTGTGCGATAGTTTTGTCAAAGTTGAGCGAGTGTTGATTAAATTATATTTGCATTGAGTAGATGGTGACTTATAATCTAGTATGATATAACGTAAGTGACCTGCAAAAGACCTCGACGTGTAATCCCTTGTTAGACGGCTTTTAGGCTTCGTGAAATTTGAGCCCGGAAAGGTCACTTGGTAAGTAGCGCTATCGATTTTGCTAAACGATTTTCTAATGACACATTTACCTAATTATTATCAAGACACCTTGATGTTAATGATATTATTTTTAACTAGCATTAGCCCGCGACTCCGTCCGCGGTTAATTAAAAAATAACAAGAGTAAGTAGCTTATTTATTCTACCAGACTAAGCTCTAAGTATGCCTAATTACATCGAGATCCGTTTAGGCAGAAAACTCTAATAAATATCCATCTTAGCATTCGCATTTATTTTTAAGATTAAACTAAGCCAAATAACTTAAATTATAGCGATAGGGACATTAACCCGGGACTACATATGGAAGTCGCTGGCATACTTGCATGCCAGATACTGGCATGGCACTGGCCAGCTGTAGGTATGTGTGAACGTTAAAGTGTCCTAGGAGAGCGTTATGTTTTTTATTTGTCACTGCCCGTGAAAAATCTGAGAGCAATATTATTATGATTAACGTATTATTTTGATTACTTATCTTGCACTAGCTGTTACACGCGACTTCGTCTGCGTGAAACATAATAAAAACGATTATGTTACTCACTGATAACGCAGCTTTTCAACCGTGATAGTTTTTTAAATCGGTCCAGTGGTTTTTGAGTTACTTCAATACGTACAAAAACACAAATCTTTCCTCTGTAATATTAGTATAGATAATTTTATTACTGATCCTTTGTTATAGAATTAGATGATTTATAATTGCGCTGAGTGCGACCAACGTTCGTTGACCCCCGCGTGCCCTCCGACCTCAGCTAATTGCAGTCACTGGATAATGGTGACGCAAGGACCGGAGGAGGAAGACAGACTTCGTTAGCTCAATTTGTTGATCAGCTGTTTGTCGGTCTGTGGATGCCGAAATTTTATATTTTTTTGATTCTCTTCGAGCCCCTGCTCTTGGCGAAGCCGAATGATTGTGTCGCTGCAATTAATGGGAATATTAAATACCAAAAAATTAAGCTTATATTTAATGCTAAGTTTAAAAAAAAAACAAATAAAAAATAAAAAAGAATGACATGGCCATTGACTCACAGACAAATTACCTTTCTAACGGTGAACGAATTTTTAAAACGACCCAGTAGTTTTTGAGTTATTCCAAATACAAAAAAAAAAACAAATCTTTTCTCTTAATAACATTCGTTTAGATTAGGTAATATATGCTCGTAGATTTTAGGTTATATTAATCATTTGTAACGTTTTATCGGTTGCCTTCATCTGATATCGAAGAGCTATAGAAACCGATGTTATTTGAATTCCATTTAGTTACATTGTACCATTTGTCACGCAATACAATCGTTAATAATAAAATATACTGTTACTGTAAAACTGTAAACACAGATGTAGAAGAAAGATGTTAGTATGAGTAGTACACCGGTAGAGGTAGACATAGAAAGAGATGGATGGATTGCGTGAAAGGAGACATGATCATGAAGGGATTGATGACTGAGATGATGCATGATAGAGTTATTTGGAAGACGAACACCCTACGGGAGTAGGATAAGGTAGGAAAGATGATGTACAAACCCACAGAATTCATTTGTTCCTCTGATAATGTGATTAACGTTTCCACGACTATGTTAGATCCTATCGTTATTTTATTAGCAATTCGATGTATGTTTTTCTCAAAGTGTAAGTTAATCCAGTAACTGGGACCAATCGCTACGGCTTCCGACGAAAGGATTTATTGGATAATCTGATTTGAGCCCCGTATAACACATTCATGTTAAGGTTTCGTATTCTGATGAAATCGCCCACATTTACTGCATAAGTCCTAATTTCTGTAGAAAAATTAGGAATTGAAATCGAGAAATAAATTTAACTGCAATTCTGATTTTTTTCTATAATAATATGAATGTAGAGGTAAGCTTAAGAAGTAATGGATAGTGAGGAAGGTGACATTATTAAGAACTGAAACGATAGACAAAAAAACCTAACCTTACATAGAGTGGACCTAAAAGAGTAAAGTTTAGTATTTATTTAAATAACTCAAAAACTACTAGTACGATTTCAATAATCCTTTCTTCATTAGAAAGGTAATTTATATGTTAGTATATAACATAGGCTATCTTTTATTGTTATTTATTTTCACGGGGACGAAGTCGCGAGCAACAGATATATTAAATAAGGACACTGATACATTCTAGGGGCTCTCATACATGCATTTAAGAAAGAAACTAGCTGATAATCGACAGTCATTCTCTTACATTAATTGTTGCTGTTATTGGAACTACTAACTTAAATTAATGCGTTTTTGTAGAGTGCGGTAGTTCAAGATAAAAATGTGAATCGACTGTGAAATTACAAGAACCGTCTGCAATCCATTCAGTGATTGTGCCAGGAGCGAAGTGTACAGTTGGCAGTTTTTGTTCGTAGCCTCGATTCAAAGCGAAGCCTTCGGGGCCTCGGAATAAAAGGATTGTGGATTTACATCTACCTACCTGTTTTACATTGTTCAGTTCTCACTGAGCTTGGACTTGATTATTGTTAGCATAGAACTCGATAGCATGAAAATTTTAGTTCCGATCTAAGCTTCTAAGTTTTATTACCACTCTAAATCTATCTTTTTGAGGTTACCTTTAATCGTCGAATAGTAATGATCAGTAAAGAGTCCTATTAAAAGAAAACGTTCCATCAAAACATTTGAAAAGCAATAATATTCCAATGCTCATTGGGGACAATGTCATTTAACTCTTTTTCTTTTTCAAACGAGAACTGTTGGCGCGGTGGCAGCGCAACGCAATTTGCTGAAACGGGGTCGTAGCGGAGTTATGCGGAGGTTCCTGCTAATTAAGGTTACTCATACGTTTCCTTTCCATAACGGCTTTTATCTCTTTAAAAAGATATATTCTCATTCTATTCTATCAATGAAAGTAAAAAATGTATTAATTAACGTCCTATCTTAACAACAATTCATATTTAACAACGGTAGCAACATTGATAATATAATCTTAATTTAATTCAACCAAAACAATGTACGTATAATTAATTTTAAATCAATCACTCTAGTAGCCAAGAAGTATCCAAACCTCTATAATTTTAGGACTCTACTGGAAACACATATCAACCAAAATGTAGGTCTTCCTTTAACCAACATCAAGGTCGTTTGATCGTCCTGTCCTTTGGTTTAAAAATAACTTTATTCTTTTATAATTTTTAGAATTCAATTATACCTGCCCTTTCAAGTTCAAGCCGTCGATTACTTCCGATGTACGTGTGGCTTCTAACTAACTCGATTTGCTTACCGTTTCCAACGAACCTAACTAATATGGTTTCTTTTAGCGGGAATTAGTCACGTTTTTGCATAGAATTTGTATTCGATCAATTCAGCTTTTTATATCAAGGAAAAGCAAATACAGAAATTATTACTTGTGCACAGCTTTTCCGATGGACTCATGACGTCATGCGACATCACTGAGCATAGAAGACGCGGTCGGTGTTAGCAGAGACGGTGTTAGTGACGCTGGTTAACCCCAGGGTGCTGGACGGATACAGGCTCACAGGTATGAGAATTATATAGTAACCCTGTATACGCAATTTTCAGTACTAAAGAAGAAAGAGGAAATGGGAAGAAAAGTTTTCGTAAGAATTTCGCGTTGTAAATATTTAACAATCATGTTTTACAAAAAAAAAATATTTTTACTATACAAATGAAATAATCTTACTCTTACTGATGTTATAAATGCGAAAGTTTAGATGTATGTATGGATGTTTGTTAGAGTTTGTAATCTAAATTATTCAGCAGTAATATCGATGAAATTTGGCATAAATGTAGAACATAGTCTGGAATAACACAGGCTACTTACATTTGTTTTTTATCACGCGGACAGAGTCGCGGCCGAAAGCCAGTTTGTTAGAAATAGATCACGTTGTAGTTACGTGTAAAACTCCAATTTTATTAAATTTCCGCCTCAACGTCTACTAACAAAAGCGGCCCTAGAATGCTCCCTTTGTGAACTACTAAATTGTGGCAACCTTAAATCTTTCTAGAAGGGCAATGGTTGACAGGGATACAAAAGCTTTAAAACATGCCTGTTATACGATACTTAGGAACAAGTACTTGAATAAACGATTTATTCTCTGTTGTAATTAATGTTAGGCTAACGGCTGTTTACTGACACGACGCTGAAACGACAATTATGTAATTGAATGATAGAGCCGCGCTTAAATTGGAAATTTCGTTAAAATTATAACGTTTGTAAGATTGTAAGTCGCGCTTACGAAGCAAAGATAGGTGTTGCCCGGGACTTCGCCCGCGTGAAAAAAAAATCATAGCCTATGTTACTCAGTTAGACATGGCTTTTTAATGGTGCAAGAATTTTTGAAATCGGTCCAGTAGTTTTAGAGTTATTTCTATACTTACAAAAATACAAATCTTTCCTCTTTATAATATCAGTATAGATATAGATTCCTTTCAGTACACGGCCGGTAAAACATTGTTAGCAGGGAATATGTGTAATTAACGTGTTTATGCTCGGATTTAAGCCTGGGCTTACGTAATTAAAATACTAAATTATTGCAGTAAAACAGGTGTATTGAATTGTATGAATTTAATGGAAATTTTCAAACTTGGATGTGATGGTAATACAAAACTAGCTGTCGCACGCAACTCCGTCCACGCGTAATGCAAAAAAAAACTTAAATACCTACGTGTTGTTAGCCTATAACAAATCTATGACAAATTTCATGGTGCTCTATTCAGCAGTTCAGAAGATACCTTCTAACAAACATCCACCCAAACATACAAACTTTCGCATTTATAATATTACTAGCTGTTCCCGCGACTCCGTTGGTGCGGATTTTAAAATAACAAAACCAAGTAGTCTATGTCTTCTTCACTTCTTTCCGTTCATTAGTTTAGGCGACAAACTCTAATAATTAATTCCTCCAAATTTTCGCATATGATAATATTAGTGAGATATATTTTTTTTTATTATATTAGGTAAATCATTGTAAAATTATTTGTGCGTATTGTAGAAACAAAACAATTATATATATCAGATCAAAGGATTATATACGATTAGACATTACATAAAAAGTTAATTATACATACATAGCGAGTGGAAACCATAAAAAATATAATTGAAGCCGATTTATATAACATTGTGTATAGTTAATCCCGGTCGTAAGATTTCGATTGTAATTACTACAGAAGGAGAATAGATAATTGAATTAGAAAAATTACGTTTAAAGTAATTTTCCTTGGAAATTTTTCTGCAAGTTTTGAAATTATACAAGATAATTTCGAAATTGATTTCCAGGTCTACGTAACTTAAGGTATCCTTGTTCATAGAATAACTAATTAAATTGTTACTACCATTAGCGTTACCAAGGAGCCGTTCCCCCCNNNNCCCCCCCCTCTAAAATACTAAAACAATTCCACAAACTTAGCTCGCAAAACCTAGTTGTAAGTTTTTCATTACAAATTTGGCAATGTTGGTATCTATTTTCTCCTCATAAACGAGGTTTAGGCTAAGCGCCATCTGCCCTCGGCCACCTCAAACCCAGTGAATCTTTAAATGCCTCTTCAAGGCAAACAGTGGCCATTCAGTCACAAATAAAAATCTATTTTCTTCCGATTTAAAAAGTTGTTTCATACTTGCCCCCCTCCCCAAATTTATCATGGCGACGCTCATGAGAGTTACCATATATGGAATGCTTCAATTATTAAGACCAGCGATTCAAACTGCGGTTCTTAAAAAGATTACATTTTTTTAAACTTATTATTTTTTTCCAGTGGAAACATACTGTAAATTAATACAAACCACACTGAGAATGTTTGAGTAAAAGTTTTCAATAACTTCGCAAATTTTGCACTCTACAAATGCTTCGCTGAAATAATTGTTGAGTGATTTAGTAAAACTTTGAAGTTTCTACCTGCTCTTTTGTCTAAAGTAAAATTATTATCGTTACCTAGTTTTGAGTGAAATTATTGTGAAAGTTGTAGTTTTTATCCGTATGAAAATATAATTATATTTTATTAATTTAAACAAGCAAAGACTTTTATAATTTAATACTTTTAATCAAGTTATGTCTTTTGCCCTTTTTAAACGATCGTGATTTTAACATGAATCGTTTGTAACTTGTTTACCAAATCAGTTACGTTTCATTAGTCAATCCGTTTTTCACGTTGACACTGCTTAATGCTTACGTGTATCTAAACGCCGTGAAAATTATAACAAGACAAAAATCCATTAAAATCGGGAACACCAACCCGCTGCTTGTTTGCCCCCTTGTCTTAAAAAAACATCATAGAATATAAAATATTTTTTTAATCTATGAAACATCATTGAATTATTAAAAAAAAATTGAAGACTTATTAACTTTTATTTACGTAGGCACTGAGGTCCAAATTCCGGTAACCCAGTTCGCTAACTCGACACCTCTACCGGGCTGGCTCGAGCGTTTGTTTTCCAACTATCGACACGGTGTCAACTTTGTGACTGAGAAAATCAATGGTTTGATGCACAGTGTTGTGAAAGAGGGTACCGTGTCGGCGACGGAGGCACTATGGCGTCAGAGGGAGGGGTGTTTGGCGCGGGAGAAGCCAGGCTCCAGGGCCGTAGCTTACATAACGCTGAGAAAAACGAATGCACAACCGACTGTTTGCTGTCTCCCTCACACGTTATTGGGATGCGTCTACAGATAAGCATATTTTCTTACGACTGTCATATTTTTATAATGGAAATTAAATCCTTTTTTCAGCTTTATTACTTTATTTTAATCAACAATGCTCAGAATCCAGTTCTGTCTAGATTTAGATATAAATAAATTTTAGAATTTATGTTTTAAAATGTTTTATAGCAATATATTGCTCAACTAACAGAATTGTAGTCGTCATCATTATGTGTTTATGTAATGGCATCTATTAAATGAAGCAAACACTGTGTTGACTTAATAAAACTAAGATGGGCAAAAGAACAATTATCGAAAAAAAAAACGTGACGGGATCTTAATCTTTACATTAATTTATAAATGACTTGTAACTTTTATCAATTACACGAAACAAATCAGAGTAAATAATTCTATTAGCTACGTAAGCATACAAGTTATGGGTAGATAATGTTAAGTAATAAACGATTGTGAAAATGCTAGCCAGTGTGATCGCGGCCGCTCCCCGGGCCGCACATGTTCTGAGCGAGAACGACTCGCGTAGTGGGCCCAGTGCCACCGTCGCGAAACCGCGTTATCGAAGAACGCTCCGTTTAAAAATTTGAAATTCGAATACCCCGATCGTTTGTTGTTTAAAAGGTGCTTGTAATTTTCTTCTATTTTAAATAGTGAATTCGTTTTTTTTTCTTTTATTTTTCTTTCGTAAGTGAAGTTGGTCAAGGGTGTTTCGTCCCGGGAGCATTGCTATAGCAACGGATGACGTCAAGTTCACGGGCGGCTGGTGCATTTTCGTTCAATAATTGCTGCTTTCATAGCCCTTGCTTTATTTTTTTATAGCGTAGAAGGTTAAAGGTAAGATGCTATGCAATTTTTTGCACGCTCTACATGAAAAAAATATAAGAAATAGATTTCTTTGAATGGTTTACGAGTAACTTGACATTTATTGCATTTAGTTTATTTTACAAGCTATATACGCCGTAAAATTTATGTAAACCATTAACAAACGCTATCTCAGATTTCATCTATTTTATATTTAAGGTAGACGAAAGTATTACAACTGTATTGTAATTAAATGATACGTTTTTCTATAGAATGAATTGATATATGTAGTTTTATTTGCTGTTGATTATTGAACCTACGTAACGTTGTCAATGAGCCGATATTCCTGGCGATCCTTAGGTACTGCCCAATATGCGGGCTTAAGCCCACTAGTGGGCAACTTAGGGCTGTGAAAAAATATAATTATAATGTTACTAGCTGTTCCCGTGTGACTTCATCCGCATGAAATTAAGAAGATTTTATTTTATTGTTTACACGTGTAAAATTATCAATTACAAATGACATGTCGATGACAATCTTGCTTCCTTGATGTTGGCAGCAACTTATGGTCTCTTTCCCACATTAGGGTTTTTATCCAAAATATTTACCCCTAATTTTAATGGCGTGAAAATGTATAGCCTAAAGCGTAAGGTAATAGTAGATTTTTTTTATTAAGAAAAGAGTTATTCAAAAATATTCTGTAATTGCTGACATCTTAGGCAACAAATAAGTGTGTGTTTACGCTTTATTATAATAGTATAGATATATATTAACGCTTCATAAAGAGTATTAGAGAGCTTAGCCCGGGCTCAACGTTTAATTATTGATTATTACTAAAAGCTAATTAAAACATCATTACCATTTGATTACGTATAGGTAACATTAAAGCTACGTCATTAATGTGGGATTACTGTTGTCATTTTATCCACAATTTTAATAAATCATTTGCATAAATTTATTCATTGTAATCGATTTGATGCTCTGCGTTCGATTGTTTCTGAGAAAAACTACGATTGTGTAATGTTTATTTAAATCACTAGCTTCCCGTGCGGGTTCATCCGCGTTAAACTAT